CACTGTCTTAATAGATAAAAAAAAGTTGAAGTTCCAAAGACTCGTCTGACCCGTTAACTGTCGTACTATTTCGTTACATGTTTTCTAAGTTTCATTTTATTTATTATTTACTTACCACTTGAAATAATTAATATTGATTTTATTTTTGTGTAGTGTTTAGTGACTGTCAACCCGACACACAACCGTGACACATCTATACACAAAATACACACTTTGAGCCCTGAAGATGATATCAATAAAGATCGAAACGTTGGCACAATAAAGAAAATGTTTTTCTAAACCTATTCACACAAGACCGCATCTCATGATCTCCAAATAATCATTGACTTTATTTTTTATCCATCTCTAAACAAAGACCTTGTGTCTAAGACCAGTGATCGGCTGGTATTGATATGATGATTGATTTAATAATTTTTTATATATATATCTTAAATTATTTAAATTATTAAATTATTATTGATTATTAAATGTAATATTAAATTATTAAATCAATCATCATATCAATACCAGCCGACCACTGGTCTTAGACACAAGGTCTTTGTTTAGAGATTGATAAAAAATAAAGTCAATCACAAAACAAAACATTTCCAGTAAAGTAGGTCAAAAAATTGGATTTTGAAATTCATTTTAAACACCTTTACAGCTCATAAATACGAATTTTTAGCGGTCATTTTTTTATTTATTTTTCTTCTCTCGACGAATTCCGAAGTTTCATTTAAAAAACCGTAACACCACTCGATTCAATTCAAATTCAACTTTTTTTTGCAACCTTAAAAAAGGTTTTTGTGTGTGTTTTTCAAGAAGGTTTTGATTTTATGTCGTTACTATTGAGAAAACTATGGAAGGACACAACAAAAACTCCTTAATATTTTTATTTTATATCTCCAGTTCCGATTTATTTAGAGATTTAGAGGCCAGGTTTGTGCCATTACGTGTAAGTTAGAAGGTTCTAAACCCCCGTAAGTATCCACGGATTGGTGGAGTCGTTTCGTATTTATCACCATTTTTGTGATTTTCGAAAAAAAAAAAAAAAAAGAGGCATTTGGAAATAGGCCAGGAAAATAGGAATTCTTACTGGACGCAATAGGGGGAAAGCTGGAAATCGTTTTAATATCTTATTTGAATTAGGAAGATCTCAGGAGGTAAACATTTCATAGCCAGAAAAGCACGAAATGTTCTTATTGTTATCAGGTTTTACCGTATTACTCGTAAACAACGACCAAGTGAAATCCCCAACTGTGCAAATATTCTATTTTGTGTATGAGTACTTAAAATTGACCAAATTAATAAAAACAGGAATGTCCATTACGCCTACGTCCCTGGCTCAAATTTCATAATTAAGGTACGAATTCAACGCGAAATTTAATGCCCTTTCATTTTAATAAAAATGAAGTTTTCGATAGGATATGTTTATTACGAACAATAGATGAAAAACAGAAAAAAATGATAATTTTTCATAGTTTTCTGGCTACCAACTATTGCCGGCTCTGATTTAACTTCAAAATTAAGGCCTAAAGGTGAAAAATTTTAGAAAAATAAATATTTTATTATTTTTTCGATATTTGTATCCAGGAGTTTCTTGGAGTGCAAAAAACGTCTTCCAACTTGGTTTCATGTCAAAAAAGGTGTTTTTAACTAAAATTTCATGCCTAATAAATCATAGTTTTGCTTTACAATCACAACTAGCTTTAGATTTATTTCCCACCCAGTTCCTTAATTAATACGGACACTATAAAATAGTGATTTTTTAAAGTTAAAAAAATTCTTGCAATGAAAATGTTTTACAATATGTTTTGGGTAAAGGAGGTTATTTTCACAAGGAAACTATCTTACACCGTTTTGAAAAGATGGGGATTCACAATCCATTTAAAAAGTTGCACAAAATTATGTCATACCAAATTACCAGTATTGAAACGAATTTCATTTAGAAAATTGACTTTTTATGTTTAATTGCCTCATTAGACTTTCTTTTCTTCTTCTTCGACCCTTGGAGAAAAACTAGTGATACGAAATTTCAGGAAAATTTCGCAATACGGACAAATCGCCTGACATCGGCAAGTATGACATACAACACAAAGCCAGCCGTTCAAAAGAGCCATTATTGCCCCGATGATCATCATTCCGCTTATCATTATTTATCAACTCCTTTCGATTAACGGACACAATTCTTTCCCATTTTTGAACGTTTATCCGAAATCCAATCGGCAAATAGTGTGAGTAATTTCGAACATCGTACGAGGAGAGAGACGAGAGAGGAGAGAGAGAGAAAATAGTTTTTCAATTTAACCCCCTCCTCCAATAACTCGTTTTTTGTTTGAATTTTCTCCTTATAGTTACAAAAGGGTAAGGAGTCGTTTCCTTAAAATTCTATTACGGATTGGTCAGTTGTTCGGAAAGGGCCTATTCATAGATGCCCAGGAAAAGAGGAAGCTTTTAAAATAAAAGGGGGTTGTATTTTATATCGAATTTCCTTTAGTTGTGCTCCCTCAGGTGTAAATTCATGTGCAGTCCATTCGGGCCAAGGTTTTTATCTTACACCTACACGGTTTTCTCCAGTTACTTTCATATTTCAAATTTATGTCCGAGCCATGTATGCGTTTCCATGTTTTACATTTCTTAACGTAAAATGAAGTAAATTATACCCAGGTGTTCGTTTTGTTTGTTAAATATAATTTGGAACAACAGGAAATGCCCGCACATTTTCGTTTAGAAATCGGTAAGATCCACAAAGAGCAAATATGATATTTGCCTTTTTAAATTCTAAGAGCATGTTAATTCAGGTTAACTACGAACACGGACAAAACAAAACTGTGGCTCGTCAAATCCCAGGAAGAACTCAAGAAGAAACAAAACCTTCTGTATCCGCCAAATTCTAAGTAAGATGCTGCAAAAGGGTATATAAACGTGTCTTTATTCATGCCGAAACTGCTGAACTTCAGAATAGTAAACAACCCTGATTGGTTGGTTCCCAAGTTGTTTAGAAAATCATGAGACGATTTAAGCAGGGGGTCGCCTGAGACGAATGAGGCCCGTTTGAAAGTAAGTGTATTGGCGTCAATTGAATCTTTAAACAGGACAAAACCACCCTATTTGTTTTTAACGTACTCCTTTCAAATGGGGCATAACTTGCAAAAAACGCAGTTTCAATCCGTCTACTGTTAAACAATTACAATGCGTTTTAGTGTGCAATAGATGATATTAATACAATAATACTAGGAAATTAAAATATCCTTACATTAAACACTTGAGGGGGAGGGATACAGAAAGACACAGAAGACAAACAGATAGGCAGACAGAAAACGAAAAAGGAAAAAAAGAGAGAGAGAGAGAGAGAGAGAGAGAGAGAGAGAGAGAGAGAGATATGGGGAAAGAGAGAAGAGAGAGAGAAAAGAATAGAAGTACAAAAAGAGAGAGAGAAAAATAGAAAGTAAGAAAAGAGAGGCAGAAGAATAGAAAGTAAGAAATGAGAGAAAGAATAATAGAAAAAAGAAGATAGAAAGAGAAGAGGAAGAGAGAGAAAGTGAGAAAGAATGGAGAGAGAAGAATAGAAAGAGAAGAATAGAAAGTAAGAAAGGAGAGAGAGAGAGAATAATAATAGAAAGAAAGAAGAAAGAGTGAAAGAGAAGACAGATAGAGAGGAAGAGAAGAAGAATAGAAAGTAAAAGAGAGAGAGAAAAGAATAAAAAGAAAGAAATGAGAGAGAGTGAGAGAAAAGATAGACAATGACAAGTAAGAAATGAGAGTAAAAGAGAGAGAGAGAGAGAGAATAATAGAAAGAAAGAAGATAGAGAGAAAGAGAAGACAGACGGAGAGGAAAAGAATGGAAAGAGAGGCATAAAGAGAAGAATAGAAAGTAAAAAAAGAGATAAGAGTGAATAATACAAAGAAACAAAATAGAGAGAAAGAGAAAACAGAGAAAGAGAAGGAGAGGAGAGAGAGAGAGAGAGAGAGAAGAATAGAAAGTAAAAAAGAGAGAGAGAATAGAAAGTAAGAAATGAGAGAGAGTGAGAGAAGAGAGAGAGAGAGAGAGAGAGAGAGAGAATAAAAAGTAAGAAATGAGAGTGAAAGAAAGAGAGAGAATAATAGAAAGAATGAAGATAGAAAGAGAAGACAGACAGAGAGGAAAAGAATGGAAAGAGAGAGAGAGAGAGAAAGAGAAGAATAGACAGTAAAAAAAGAGGAATAAAAAGTAAGAAATGAGAGTGAAAGAAAAAGAGTGAATAATAGAAAGAAAAGAGAGAGAGAGAGAAAGAGAGAGCGTGAAAGAGAAGAGTAGAAAGTAAGAAAAGTGAGAGTGAGAGAAAGGAGAGAGAAGAACAAAAAGTAAGGGGGAGGGGGGAGGGAGAGGGAGAGAGAGAGAGAATTATAGAAAGAAGATCGAGAGAAAGAAAGAGAAGACAGACAGAGAGAAAGGGAAGGGGAGAAGAGAGAAAACAAGAGAGAGTTTGCATTTATAACAGCATTAATGGAGTGAAGGCCGTTTCTTAGTTTGATGTTTTTTTACTGTTCCTGTGTATTGCTCACTATCATTTGACATTTGCTGTTAGTAAATTAGTTAAACTGTTCAAAAGTTATGAGTATTTTCGTGGCAAATGGTTCATGTATATTGCAGGTTCTGTTGTCTAATTAAAACAAATTAACACGCATACTGTAAGACTTGTAATACTCAACATACACATCATGCCAACATCAAAAGCAGACACCCAGTCTGCTTCTGCCCTTTTATACTGTTACAACTCTCCCACCACATTACCCGCTTCAAAATTTCAGAAAGGTCAAAACAATGGGGGAGAGAAAGACAGATGAATGGCTGTAGCCATTCCAAAACTTCTACAAATTGACTTTTCAGTGCATGTATGAATTAATGAATTATTTACCCATTTTGTATTCCAAAATAAAGAAAAATTGTTGTAAAAAGTAGAAATGACTTTTATTCAATTACACTCCCAAATTAAGTATGATCATAGAATATCTTCAGTTGTGAAAAACATGCGGCTTACCTGTTCAAAACCTCCAAGGAGCTCAGCCGTATCTGTTGTAGAGCTGATCGGTATTGTGTAGACCTTTTGGCCTAGAAGATGAGCTAGTGTGTATATACTGCAAGACTTCCCACTGCAACTTTCTCCAACCTGAAAATTATTGAAAAAATCAGCACTGATAGAACAAATACAAACATTGTCTGACTTACCAATATAGCAAGCCATCCCATCTTCACACACAGAGCGAGAGACCTTAACAGTGAAAGCTGATTCCTCAAGATCAGAAGTTGGTTGTTCTTGTCTACGGTAAAATGAACAGGATTTTGCGTCTGGCATCTTCTCTGTAGAACTAGTTCACCGAATATCACTTTGTCTTGGGTCAAAACAATCGGAGGTGCTTTGTCATAGATGGGAAATTCCGGTTCAAATATTTCTTTATATAGATTTACAACCTAAAATAGAAATTGTTTAATATTAAGAAATACGCTTTTTATTCTGTTGTATTTTTACTTTATTTCGATCCTCCTTTCTTCTTAGCCGGTCAATGAATATCGAAGTTACAAATGTGCCAGGGTCGTCGTTCTTCATCGTTTCCATCCAATATATCAGGTCTCTCAGGTTCCATTCCCAAGGGCCATTATGGAATTGCCATACTTCTGTTGTTTTGGAATTTAGCCTGATGTTAAACTCCACAACTTTTTCTATTAGGCTCTCCTCAATTTTTGGATACAGCCCATGGAGGATGAGTTTGTAATCTTCCTTTGAAAGGCTCTCCATGTAAACCTTTAACAATTAAAATAACAAAATTTATCCAAGAAGCCCGTTTATAGAATGACAATAAACACAAAAAAGTTTACCTATTTTTATATTTCTTATTTTACTTAATTAACAATATTGCAAGATGTATAAATAAATAATGCTATTACCTGAGTAAATCTATTAAGGAAAGACTGTGGTAAGCCTTTTCTACCACCTCCTTCCCTCTGAGGATTTTGACAGCCAAACAGGCGGGTCGTTTCTGTTTGGAGCTTGAACGTTTTGCCTAATTCAGGTATAAAAACTTCACCACGGTGATCAAGAACACTGTTAAGGCCTTCGACAACTGATTGTGATGCAAGATTTAACTGTAAAAAATTGTGAAAATATTAGTTTGTATAATATATTTATTTAATTTATACTCACTTCATCAAGAAGAATCCAATGGCCTTCTTTGAGTGCTTTTAAAAATGGCCCATCCCTCCATGCAAACGTGCCTCCAGGGGCACCTTCCACGGGTAGGTCTGCTCCAAACAGGTCTGAAATGTCAGTCTGCTCTGATAAATTTATTCTTGTTACCTACAAAAACAATAATTAGCAACAAGAAAAATTAAGTTGATTCAGTTTATTTTTTCCCCTAAATACCTTATATCCAGTAGCTTTTGCTAAAGCAACGACTACAGATGTCTTTCCCACTCCTGGGCTTCCTTCAAGTAAAATAGCCCTAGATGGGATTTGCAATGATCTTATTAATCGTAGTGTATTTAAACATGTTGTAGGAGCTTCGAAAAGGAAGTCTGTTTTTTGAATTGGATGAGGTCCTGAAATTGAAAACACTTTTTTATAAATCCTTCAACGATCAATTTCACAAGTACATTTCTACTAATTCACTCATCGCACCTTTCCTGATAAAAAATGGGTTTATTCCGAAAGCCTTTTCCATATCTGATACAACCAAATTTTTGTCGAAAGGATGTGAGCGAATCCCAGTTAAGCTTTTCACTTGTTCCAGAAGGATATTCTCAAAATCAGTTTTATATAAAGAAATGATCTCCGCACTTCAAAGAGTAAAATAATTTATTAATACAATAAATATACTTTTTAATGAAAAGTAATTACTTTTCCACTGCAGTTGTCGCAGTTCCGATTCCATCTAAAAACGTTAGAAAAGCACCATGGATGTAAGCAGTGGCAACATCAAGTCCATTATGACTTGACACCAAGTTTATAAAGTTCACCCATGTCAAAATATCTCTCACGCTGATTACAATCCTGAAAAAAATTCTTTGTTTACTTAATAATTTTTTTTTATGTCAGTTTAGTAGTCAGTAAAGGTTTCAAAAAATTTCATTATATGCAGTATAGTAGGGATTGAGGAAATATTTAAAACACGGCATTATTTCCAAGAATAGGCTATAGACGTAATGTAAATTGTTATGAAATTATGTTGGTAATACTTGTCAAAAAAATATGACCAGGCATTTTTGCCAGGCCTCTAGGAGTCAAGAAAAATAAAATTAGTTATTCAGATATCGTGAGATGCGGTCGGGTGTCACATCTCACGATATCTGAATAACTATTGATTAACGGTCACTAATCTCTACACCTTTCTACACGAGAAGAACGAAGAATATGGGATACTATGGGAAAAAAAATGTTTTCATAATTTGTTGTCTCCCTTTGATGTGAATATATTTAAATCTTATTGTATTTCAGTTGATTTGTATTTTTATATAGCATAAGAAAATAATAATCACATCATGAAATGAAATTAGATTTATGTACAGTGGAAACCCATTTATAAGGACCCCAATGACCCGGACATCCAGATTATCCAGACCCGTTTGTTAAAATATTTTTTATAAATTATTTGGAGATCATGAGATGCGGTCTGGTATAGTCTCACGATCTCCAAATAATCATTAATTAACGATCACTAAATACCACATATTTTTTTATAAATTTTTCATAATTCTCAATGCATGCATATTATTTTTTTTAATTCATAATTCAACTATGGGACCTTGAAAAGGTCGAACGAAAAATGAAATTTGTGCAAAAAGTGTGAAGTTCCAGTACTCCCGGACTGTTTTGAGGATTACCATATAAAAGATTAGAATATATTTTTTATAAAATTATTGCAATTGTGTTCAAAATACAGTTATTTTACTGCTCAGCAAGGGTTACTTATTCACCCAAAACAGAAGTAAAAAATATTGTTTCTCGAAAAAAGCAAACATAAGTGCCAAAGCGCAACTAAAGTTGTGTGCCCTTAATTAATTATACAAGAGAGCTAGGATTCTTTTCTTTTTTTTTTTAATTTGATAAATTATAATGACATAAAATCAAAGCATTGTTGACAAGGACTGAAAGAAGAAAAATTAAGCTTTCACTGCTTTAATCTTTTTTAAAGTTGAGTTTGGATAAAATCGAGAGGTGTTATGAATTTTTAAGTGGAACACAAGAAATCGGTGAGGAAAAAAATTGACTCTAGTGAATCAAACCAAAAAAATGTATATTTTTTTATTTACTATAAAAATTTGTATTTAAGGGCTTTAAATGTGCTTTCAAAAAATAGGAAATGTCAATTTCAAAAACCAATTTTTTTACCTTCTTTATCGGAAGCATCTTTTCAGATTTTTAATCTTCTATATATTTAATTCCTTTTCATTGAACTCTCTAGTTCGCTTGTTTATATATTTTTTTCTGTATTTTCCATTTTTTATCTATATTTCATATTTTTGTATTTTGTTTTTTATTTGATTTTATTTTTTGTATATTTTTTCTTTTCTCTCTTTTTTTCTATTCTTCTCTAAACTGCATATATATTTGTAAACCAATGACCTCTGGCAGGCGGATCGGACGATCTATGTCCGTAATGCTTTTGTTCTTTAATATAACGAAAAGTTTTAATTTTGTTTTAATAAAGCAATTATTATTATTATTTCATTCAACCCTGCATATTATTTTTATGTCCTACGTGACAAAAGGAATTGACTGATGAATAAAATAACCTTAAAATATATGCACAAATTTTTTTCCTCAGCTCCTAAGGCCCATTGGCAAGAATACTCAGAGCTATCTCCAAAAAAAGTTTCATTAAAATCAGTGATCCAGTGTCGCTAGTCTCCCATTGTAAGTAATGCGAAATAAGTCAAAAAAATTATAAATGCCTTACCTTGTTGCTATTTGAGTTTTTTTGAATTTGTTAATAAACTGAACCATTGCTTTCCCAATTCCAGAGCTTCCGTCTTGTTGATTAGCAAGCGATAATCCTTGACTAACATTGTGCTCTATTATCGAGATGAGATCTTCATCTGAGATTGGCGGTTCACACCATATTTCAGTGAGCCTGTTTCTAAGTGCAGGCGATAGTTCTTTTTTACCGAAATCCCCTCCAGGGTTCATTGTGCCGACGAAACGAAACCGACTGTCGGCCGTGATCTCCACCTCATCCCCTGACCCTTTCTCACTCACAAGTAGTTTCCTCTCCGGTTCGAGAAGAGAGTTGAGCCTTTCAAGAACGCTATCGTCAGCAAGGGAGATCTCATCAGCAAGGAATAAATTACCACTCTTCATCGATAGAATGAGAGGACCGTCGACCCATTCAAATATTTTACCTTTACTCTCAACCTAGAAAAAAATTGAAACAATTGATTTTATAGCCGCATTAATCAATTAATATACTTTACCTTGTCTCTGACGGGTCTCAGCCCACCGAGAAAATCAGAGCTTTCTGAGTTTTGGTGACAATTCAGTGAAAAAAGCTGTTGGTTGTTAATAGCCGCAAGCAACTGACATACACTTGTTTTTCCGCAGCCTGTTCCTCCAACGAGCAGAATCGGTTCACAAAATTGTAGTGCTTTGCCTAATAAGCATAAATTTCATCAGAAAACAATAAATATAGTACATAATACAAATATTTACCAACTAAAACGGCAAGCTTTCTTATATTGTAAGTCCAAACTATGTGCTTGAAGCCATCAGGAAGTTCAGAATTTAATATTTGTTCTAAAACTGGCTTAGTTACTGGTGAAGTGTCTTTATTTACTGAAAATTAATTTAAAAAAGTGTTATTAAAACAGTTAATGCTATCAAAACTGAAAACTTACAAGTAAATAATTTTTCCAGATGAACAGTTCTTTTGATGTGTTTTTCAATTACTTGTCTTATAATCTCGCTTTCGTCTTTTTTTCTTACTCTTCCAGCAAGTACTAAAAACCCTGTAATAAACACATTTTTAAAACATATACTGAACTGTTATTTTAAAATAAGGAACATTACAAACCTTCATCTGCAATGTGTTGATCCCAGTCATAATATTTATGTTTTTCAACATCACTTGCCAACCTATATCTTTCACCCCAACGGAAAAGTTCCCTAAGAGTGATGAAGCCATGTTTTCCAGCAAAAGCTGCAGACCCTTTTCTTCTGATCTGGAGGTGGAATATTAACAAATAAAACGTGCAAAATGTTAGGGTTAAATTTAAAATACCTGTAGATCCGACATGACAGCTACAAGCTTCTTTGCGTAAGATTCAGGCATGTCGCACCTGTGTTGCAAAATACTGACAAGTTCGGGGGCAGGGATTTCATCAAAATGCAGCTCAACGAATCTATTGCGAAATGCCCTAGACAGCATCTTAAAACATTGAAATTAAAATTATGTTTTATTTATTAAATGCTTAAATAGTAAAGGCAAAAAAACTCACTTTTCTACCTCCATACAGCCCAGGGGGATTTTGAGTAGCAAACAGTCTGAAATTTGGATGAGCTTTGACCGTTTTTTGAGTCTCTGCTATGAAAAGCTCCCGATTGTCATCAAGGACTCGATTTAAAGCTTCTAGAACCTCACTAGGAGCTAGATTCAACTCGTCGAGGATAATCCAATGGCCATTTCTCATAGCCTCGACCAGAACACCTTTATGAAAAACAGATTGAACACATTTGCAACATGAGAATTGATTAATATTATACCTTCTCTAAAAACAAGATTTCCTGAAACAGCGTCTGCACAGTACGAGCCGACATATTCCTGCAAGTCTGTATGCTGGTGGTTGTTTATTCTAAAACACTTGTGGCCCGACGATTCTGCGAGGTATGTGATCAGGGAGGTCTTCCCGACTGACGTTTCTCCTTGGATAAGTATTGGGTGATTTGAAAGCGAAACACACCGTGCAATGTCACATAAATTTTTTCTCACACTGGGTGTCAGCAAATACTGAAATTTAATTAGTGATAAATGCGCTAAAATGATAAAAGGATAATTTATACAGTAATAATTTATACGGTGGGTTTTTAAAAATAATTGCTTTTGTGATGATTTGTCAGGGCTGATGAAGAAGGGTCATTGAGACCTAAACGTCCATAATAATACAAAATTTAACAGCAACCCACCAACTAAATAAATTATGTAAACATTGCAATATGTATAACAAATTTATAATATTGATTTACCTTCTTGGAGATTTTTGATTTGAACGGGCCCTTTATCACCCAATAGCCTTCAAAACGAATATGGCTGTTGGGCGGAGCAGGCTCTTGAATCGGTTGTGTCAGTATGCTTTTCATGTCGTTTTTATCCAATACACTCCTGAAATGAAAATTTTAACATTTGTATTTTTTTAACTTCAATTTAAAGCCTGAGGTTTAACTAAACTTACTCAGCTATCATATTCTTAACAGAGTTGTGAGACTGAGCATTTAATTGTGTTAAAAAGCTCAAACATAACGCTTCATAAAGGGATCTTTTCATACTTCCACATTTGTTTTCAGATGCAATAGTCAAACCTCGACACAACGTCCTTAAACTATTTAAACAAAATCAATAAGTACAAATTATTCTTTAAAATAAGGAAAAACAGACCTGTAAAGCGGTTTTTGGCCATTAGAGTCTGAAAGAACCTCTACTGCTTTTTTCTTCACATCGATATAAAACTGGACGACAGAAGTGATTATCGGCTTGGGCAAATTTGGCAAATAGCATTGCACAAGTAGTGCTAAATCACTCCTCTCAGTATGCTCATTCACAAAAAGTTCAGTAAATCTATAAATATGACACGGAGAATATTCTGACAATAATTTAAAAACAAACACCAACAAACCTATTTCTGATACCCAAAGGTAAGTCTTTCTTTCCAAAGTCTGTAGCGGGGTTCATAGCTGCTAGAAGGCGGAAACCAGGATTTCGTTTGACCTCGACAACATCGCCTCTCTCCAACAGTGACACAGAGCCAGAACTTCCTTCCAGCAAACCGGATAAACACTGAAGAGTCTCGGCAGATGCAAGATTAATCTCATCCAATAAAACCCAATGCCCTGGAATATTTAGCAAAAGTATTAAATGAACTGATAAAATAATAAGTATTTTGGGTTTCTAACACAGACGTCTCAAAATTTTGTGCTGAATGTGTAATTTTGTATGGTTTTTAAATTCGAATGTTGGTAAATATGGTATATTTGGGTTTTTTACTTCAAAACTATTTACATTAAGTTACAATTAAATTTTCCACTCACTACAAAAAATGAAAGAGAGAACCACATTTTTTTTAATTTGCTTATTAATTAGTTTTACAGGGGGGGTACAAAAACACTTACATCCAAATAAATAACCAAATAAAAACCAAGAGTGAGTAGGCTAAAGTAAAATAGTTTTAAGTAATAACACGGCTTACCTTGTTTAAGTGCTTTTACAAGAGAGCCTTCAATGAATGAAAATGCCATGAGGCTTTTGTTCTTCTCAAGTTGACTCTTGAGTCTGAAAATCTTATCACCGAGGACTTTCCATTTGGCCAGTGTGTCCTCGTCTTTCTTTTGCCCTTCGAGCAAACGCCTAACTGCAGCTGTTTGGCTATGCGACATCAGTTTAAGCAGTGTAAGCCACATCCGTTTTGAAATGCAGACCTAAAAAATTAAAAATATTAATACATTTTTTTAAAGGATGAACATTAAAATACATACAGAAATGTTTTCTAGAAATTTTATATTTTCTTTCACGTTAAAAAACGACCTGAATAAACTCTCAAATTCTTCCCTTAAAGGTGTAACTATATGTTTTATATCTACAGGTTTGTACCTACAATGAAAAAAGCATTAAAAACAATTAAACGACGGCAATTTATTTAAAATAATTACCCTCCAAGTAAATCAGAGCTATCACTTTGTTGGTTCATGTTTATAACAACGAGTTTGTTCCCTGTCTTTTGGGCCAAGAGCTGTAAAGTTGATGTTTTACCTGTGCCCGTTTCACCGACCAAAAGTACAGGTTCGTTGAGGGACAAGCAGACCCCGATTCTTTCGATTAAGCACGAAGATTCTCTCGTATAGGCAAATTTAATTTGTTGCTCATACTTGTGCTTTGAGAGAGTGGCTTGATCTACATCCTTCAGCCGTTGAAGGACGGCTCTCCCGGCAAGGCATGCACTACTAGAAAGTGTGATGTTCGGCTTGTAAAGATTACAGAAATATTCAGCCTTGGTTTTGACTATTCCGAGGCAAGCGGCAACATTACAAGCCAGGTCCAATCTAACAGCTAAACATAAAACAAATTATAACATCCATCGATTACAATAATCTAAATGCAAAATACCTGAATCGTTAAAACTGCAACAGAAGAGGTCAATGGCATCTTGTAATACTTTCAGTGCAGACTCTTGTGAAGCGACGTCAAAATCATTTTCAGCCCTTGCACACCACTTCATTAAATCCCTGTAAAAATATGCATGTGAGTTGATGTCACAATAAAAAAAAATATAATTTAAATTACCTGACAGAAATCAATCTTCTACCAATTTGTCTACTCAAAATTTCATTTGTAATCGATTCCTGACCTCCAGTAGTAAACATCGTGTATACTTTGACCATTCTACTTGCTACTGTCTTTAAAACTGGAAACTATAAGAAAAAATTTTAAATTATTGTTTAAAAGAAATTTTAATCAATTGTAACAACCTTTGTTTGGATAACATGAACAAGTTCATCGAAAGTAAGCGACTCGATGTTGACTTGAAGCCAATATTTCTCAAGAAGTTCCATCGCTGCTGTCTGCTTCTTATGGTGTGTATGAAGTCCGGGAAACAGTCTAAATAAAATACGAATCATTACCGGGTTTATTTTCAAGCCAGAGTTAAGAATACCTATGAGTCATGAAAAGTTGAAAACCAGGTGCGACTCTGACATTATCCCTGAATCCAGGGATGTTGACAACGTTGTTTTCAAGAAGACCAGCCAAAAGAGCGGCAATATCGCTTGACGCACTTTCTATATCTTCAATCAGAAGCCAATGTCCGCCCAAAATAGCCTTAAACGTAAAATTAAAAAACTTAAAACGAGATTCTAAAGATTTTTAGAAAAATTTACCTTTGTCAGCACTCCCGATTCCCAAATGAATTCACCTGGCAGATCAGTGGATTTGTAAGTTCCAAGTAGAAGTTTCGAGTCAGTTTCTTCTCCAAGTTGAACTTTTAATAATTCAACATTTTTTGTTCTTCCTAAAGAAAAAAGTTCATAACTACACGTTTTTTTAAAATCCTGTACATTAATACACAATTTGTTTTATGCTATAAAAACCCATCCACAACAGATAGCCAATATTGGCACTTAATTTGTTATCAAAGTAAGGACGAGGTCTCAGGGTCATCATCATTTGAGGCGATGGAGGTTTCTTGGGATGGGAGGTAATGGCTTGAGCAGTATAATTAGGATTGTTGAAAGATTAGAAGAACAGGACTTGATCAATTCTTTAATGAAGAGGATGTTAAGGTAGTAAGGTTAGAGACGTAATAATTCTTCTGAGGTCTTTTGATCAGAATGGTTGAATTAGTTGGCTTAGAAGTACACCACAGCTCCGCTCATGTCCAAATAGGTCAAAGTAATGTTTTGCATAATGTTAATTTGTAGCTGTCCAAGTTGTCTGTTTAATACTTGTCGCTTGAATCTCTTGAAGTGTTTAACCTGTGGAGATGTTGGTAGCTGACATACTGAAGATGGCAAAGTTGTAGCTTGCTGGCAAGCGCTAGATGCTCTTGGATTTTGACGTAGGATTGGAGTTAAAATTGTGATATCGTAGGTTGTAAGGATAGTGTTGGGATGTACCAGCAGGTCAGCAATATAAATAGGATGGGACCAAGAATGCCCCCTTGTAGGTCACCATCAGTGTGAGAACTCATTGTGCCTTCAAAGGAGCAATCTAGTAGATTGTTTTAAGATTGCTTTAATTTTAAGATTAAGTAATAAGAAGTGGGTAGGAACTGCTGTAGGTTGAAGAGAACTCCTGGGTACCATACCTGGCAAAAGCTTGGTATTGTCGAAGTGCATGGGGTCCTCTACAGCAGAGGAAGTAGTGTCAACAACCCTGAAGAATTTCTGAATCGTGAAATGACAAGGACGGAAAAGGAATCGATGAAATTGGTTTTAAGTAAACCTAGAATGGGTATTAGGCATTTGAACCGGACATTACTGGGGAAAGGCTGATAGGTCTGTAAGAGGATATTTGGTTGGAAAATTTGTGGGCTTTAAGTTTGAAGGTGATTATGGATTATTTTCATAGTAGAGTCATAGTTCAGTCAGACAAAAATGTCTCTGTGGATATATGACTACTTTAGATGGTTTGAAAGATTTGAAAGGATAGGATATAGAAAATAATACCAAGGTTTTGTGTTGGTAGTACTTGTAGATGTCTTATCTTTTTTTTTCCAATGAACAATGGACCCATGTTTTTTACCGGGCTGACAGTGTTGTATAGGCTATAATGAAAGTGTGCATATGCACTGGATATTGGTCTGGCGACTATTTACTGACAGGTGTGCATTCAGCCCCCTCAGTGCAACAGACATTGATGCGGCATAAGAAAGATGTGCAGTCAACTGCCCCAGTGTATTGATGCTTATAGATGCAACTGGACATATCGCCTTATTTTAGGCGCATTTTCTGCAAATGCTTGTTGTCCCTGTTTCTTTAAATTATCATGTTTATACCACGTGTTTTAAATTATATATCTTTGTCAATAAAGTTTTAATTTTTTTTTTTCTGTACATATAATCGTACAATTTTATTTTAAAATCTTCTAACTTATCAAAGAGAGAATGAAATACACTATATTCTTCCCTTTCCAATAATATAGAATGTACCCACAATGATCTTTTATGTTTTTCTGTTTCTTTGTGTGTTTATTTTATAAACAGTAAGCCAATGTGTTTTTGTTTTTTTCTTCCCCTCCTTCTCCTTCTCCTTGGCTACCAGTTCAAAACTGAGACAGGGAGAAATAGTTCTCGAAGCTATGACATATCCCATAAATTACTTATACGGTGCAATGATGCCTGTTTATTATTAGGTTTGTAATCCGATGGGGGAAAAATAAAAAATAAATTAATTAAAAAAAAAAACAACGGACATCTGCAAGCGCTCTAAAGGTTTGTTCAAAATGGGTACAAAAAAAACGTACCTGTAATTTTAGCAAGGTGTTCGATCAAAGCTGATTTTCCACTGCCAACTGGTCCAAAAAGGCAGACGGCCTTTGATGCTGATATGCCCAATGCAATGTTTTTCAAATTGACACATGTTGACGGAACAGGAACTAAACAACCTGTTGTATCCTACATAAAAAAACTTCGAGTGTAATATTTCTTATAAAAAATAATAAATCAAAATAAAATGTTGATATTAAGGTAAATAAATGTGGTATTTTGCCTTATATTCTTTAACCAGAACTTCAAATATAAACTTTTTATTTGTAAACTAAAAATAGTCTGTAAAATAACAAATTAATAAAAATACATTTGAATTTAAAGCAAAAAATTAAAAATGAGAGCCAATCATATGCATATATGTGCCTTATTTATAAATTGCCCAGTTTCAAAGAAAATTGAACATTTACATTCATAAATTACATTTTTTTAAATATATTATACTATTAAATACCTGATTACTGGAGTTACAAACTGGTAAAGATATTCCACCAACATTGACATTATTCTTCGTAGTAGCATTTACTTCTATATCCATGTTTTCTATACATTTTGAATCTAAATACAAAACACATCCAATTAAACGAGAATCATGTTACAAAAGTTAAGTTATAAAATTTATCATGTAAATAAAAGTTACCTGTTTCGATACAGTCATCGAATAAAAAGTCATAATCCGAAAACTTTTTAGAATACATCAGACTATACATTTTATCCTCTTCTTCGGTTAAGTATATAGAAATTATTTCATCCATTCCTAACAACTTTGAAGCACACTGACATGCAACCCTTAAAACAATGCCTAATGTTAATTAAAATCAATTATGATTGATTTTAAATAATATACCATATTATCTGGTGGTCGGAGTGATTCAGGTAGGTTGCCAAAAATTCCGACCAGTTCCATTTGTCTTTGAAATGTACAAAAGAGGAACGGAGAAGCTCCCAGCAACACTCGACCATCTCTAACTCGGTGACTATCACTTTGGGCAATGGGAGTTTTTGTTTCTTTGGAATTTTCGGCTGCATTTCCAGATATGACCAAGGAGGCTTGTCCGAATCGAAATGGATCAAGCAGCTCCTTTATTTTAAAAAAAAGTAATATAAATTAATTAATTAGCGATGTAGATTATCAACTAGCAAATTCAATGCTCTCAGTTAGCAGGTTTATATATATATATCTTGACCACAAACCCGATAACTGAAATAATTAATTAATACAAAAAATAACAAATTTAAATCATGGGTTATACTCACTGGACCAGATCTTTCTGGGTGTAGAAGAGTTTTGCCAGAAGGATGTACTTAATCCTAAAGTCCTTTTCATTGTCAATCGCATGCAAAACAATGTCGATCTTGAGTTGTGGCACACAGTTCAATATTGAAATTGTGTGTTCAAATTGTTTTATATGTTGAGATAGCACTTGGATTACATTAAAAAAATGATCACTAGACCAATCCTGTAAGAGAAAAATATAAATATGCATCTTACAAAATTTTTGAAAAATTTAAGTTCTTAAATCCTTCCTTTTCCTACTTGTGATATTAACTTAAAATGGTAAAACACCAAAATATAATTTGACTAAAACATAGATGCAAAAAAGAGCATATAAAATTATGTACTAGGCTCAGAAAAAAATTTAAGAACACATTCGGTCGCAAGCATTTATTAATAATTATATTATTTATTTGAAAGTGTGTAAAAGGGGTATAATAAAAATTTAAAACTAGTCTTCAAAATTATTTGAAATAATGTATATTTTTAAATTTTCTCGGAATTTATTATTTTCCTCTTGAAATGTTTAGTTCGCTAAAACCCTTTTTTTAATTTTCAATAATTTTATTTTTTTATCTGATTAAATATGGAGCAAAATATATAAATTAAGGAAAATCCTCCAAATAATTATAAATATGTAAAATAAAGTACTGTTTATTTGCTTTTAGATCGCATGAAATATGCTATTAAAATAAAAGTTTCAAAAATGGTATGAGGCTCAGAAAAAAATATGTGAACACATATAAATCCAGCCCCTAGTAAATTGTATTGTGTATTTGAAAAATGTAAAAAAGTGCTACTACCGAAATTTAAAATTTTAATCTTCAACATTATTTGAAATAACATACATTTTTATATTTTCTCAAAATTTATTGAAAATGCAGGCAAGGTGGATATGGCCGGGATGTCCCGACCTCCTTGGTGGCAGCAACAATGGGCCAGGTCGAGAGAGATCACCCGATTGGTGAGATATCAACAGCAATGTCAATGGGTGGTTCTCGGAGGATCAGACGCCTAGAAGGGTCATCCTCACCCGATTAAGAATAGACCATGTGAGGTTGGCAAAAGGACACATACTTTGCCAATTGTTCGATGTCTCCCATCTAATTTAAGGCTGCAATTCCTTGGCTCCATACAGAGAGCAAGCAGGAATGCCAACCAATTTAAAAATTGTGCTTGAGCATGGCATCGAGTATTTGCATCCCCTCCTGTATTGAAGGAAACCAGGTTGTTCTATTGTATATAGTAATAATAGTTGTGTACTATAATAGTTGTATTGTGTTAGTTATGTATACCATGCTTGTGTCGAGAGTGAATTTATTTATTAGTGTGAATGTATCATGAGGGTCAATGGCGGAATATCAAGTACCCATTCAACACTCAATTTTGTCAGTTGTAAAATATGAGTAAAATTTATGTTGAGAATGAATGTTTTTATTAGCACGATTGTGTGATGTGAAAGGATCGATGGCAGAATACCAAGTACCCCCTCAATTAGATTAGTTTTGTAATATGTGTAAAGGGTGATTAGGAATATCGAGTACTGCACCACCTCCGAAACTCTTCTTGTTTTTTGCTTATTTTTTTAAATTTTCAATAACTTGCCCATTTTATTAAATAAGGTAATTATATGTAAATTTCCAAATATTTACAAATGTGTAAAATAAAAACGGTTTATTTGCTTCTAAATAGCATGAAACAAAACAAAAGTTTCACAATCAGTGAATGACGCTCAGAAAATAATATGTGAATACTGAAATCTGGTCCTGTCATTACAGTTTAATGATAAAACACTGATGGACAAAATAAACGCATAACCCTTAAATTTTAAATTATTCAGGTTTATTCATATTTTGCTTAGTTTTGTTCTCTGAAACCCTTCTTGTGTTTTTTGGTCTCTTTTTAAATATTCAATAACTTTATTGTATAGTTTATTAGAAATGGACCAAAATATGTAAATTAAGGTAATTATATGGTAGTTACGGTTCCATTATGTAAAGAACAAAAAAAAATCAAAATCAATTAAGTTTTTTTCTTTTTTAAATTTTGTCCCCTTTAATACAAAGTATTTCCACCTCTAGCACGAATCACATCCGTTAAACACATTTGCATTCCTTATTAAATATTTCTGGTAAAATCCCGAGGTATTCTTTTGCATTCATCAAGAAAAGCTGTTTGGGGTGTTAAGACTTGGGTTTCGCTGTCGTACTTGTTGCTTAAATTCGTCTCAAATGTGTTCAATTGAGTTTAAATCTAGACTTCGAGCTGGCCACACGAAACACTAAATTCAAACCTTATTCAGGTAGTCATCCAAAATTTGTGCTTTATGGGGGCTGGCAAGAATCTCTCACAAATAGGGAGAGGACAAATAGTACTACTTGTTTGTACCTCTGTGAACATAGAGATTTTCCTTGCACAACAACCAATTTGGTGTGAGCGTCTGAGGAAATGACACCCCACAACATCTATGGCCTACCACGGAATACCACTTGAGGAATCAAACAGCACGGGGAGTACCTTTCTCCTGAGGTCTCCACAGAAATACACCCATCTGAACATTTAAGGCCAACTCACCTCATCTGTACAGAGAACTCGTCCCCAATCTTCCAATGTCCAATTCACACGTTCCCGTGCGATTGAAGCCTGGCCATTTTCTGAGTAAGAAGAGGTCCAAGAGCCAGGTGTCAGGCCCTGAGGTTATTTTCATTGAGCCTTCTTCTTACTCAGTCGAAACATTTCACCCCGGTCTTATCTCATTAAAGCTGCGGTTTCGCATACAGATGAATCTATCATCTCTCTTCTAGTGTGAAGCACTGGTTCTTTGAAGCGCCTTCGACCCTTCCTATTGTACAGTGATTTACACTCTGTCTCCTTACGACTTTACACTGGCTGTATCCTTCCTCTAATGTTATGGCCCTAACGCAGTCATATTCACTCAAATGCCTGACCTGAGCCATTGAAAAAGGTTTAAGAATAACAATAATATCAAATGAAATCAACGGCGGAAAAAGATTAACTGAAAGTGATCTTTAGGCACAGCAGAATGGAAGGGCATAATGCTACTTTTGATTCAAATGGGATTAATCAATAAAAAGTAAATAAAAGAAACAAAGCACTGTTTACTGTTAATTCCGACTTCAATAGATCCTAATTACCTGTAACTAATGTAGAAAGACAATGGATTTAATTTTAAACTAAATAAATTGAGGGGTGCTTTAAATTTGTCCATCAGTGTATTATAATAGATTATTTTGCAATTGAATATAATTTCGTATTGAAAAATCAGTGATGAGGCCATTTGAGAGAAAAGAAAAACACTCTTTTAAGAATCTTCACTTCATCAGCACATTAAAACTAATAATAATTCATAATGTAAACAAATATGAACATCGACTTAAAATATTAAAATTTATGGTTTCAAACATAGTGAATTTATTAGTTGACAGTGCAACAATGTATATCAATGGCTCATGAGAAAATGACATTCCTTTCAGACTCTATTGTGACGATTTAATTTTTATTTCAATCGAGACAGAATAAATAATAATATAACATTCATCAGGATAAATTTTCACAAATTTTTGGATTATTTTTACCACCAGATCCTGGCGTTTTGAATAAATCATCTTCAGTACGACACCGTTATATTCATGACAAACAGTCGAATATTTATATCGACATCGACCTTTAATGAAAACTACAGTTTTTTTATGCTAAATTAAAGTTCTTACAAATGTTCATCTCCCTTAATGTAGCTTTTTTAAGCAAATTTCATAACCTTGCGAAAAAGTGCAAATAAGCACTATAGAACCAAGCTCCCACATTTTATTTCTATTGTAAATAAATAATTGGTTCATATAAACAATATTTATTTTTAGAAAAGTAATTTAGCACGAGAACACATGACAGTCAAGAAGAATTTGAGACATTACTTCAACATGTAATTTATTATGTTAATAATATATCCAATATCTTGACTACCAGGCAAATTCAGTACAGTCTCCACACTCTGGTAATGCTGTACGATTCAAAAATAATAGTATAAAGTCAAAAATCTAGCCCTGGGCTACCTCTGTTTTGAGCAAAGAGTCGGCAGAGTCGGTTATTTCCTTGCTCAGGCCGAGCCTGGCGAGCCGCTTGAGGCCGTGGACGAGGCCTGGCCTTTTCGATTCCTGCTGCATTCCTGCTGCAAGGGTCAGCGCATTCCTTCCTTAATCCTGCTTCGGACAAATGGGTTTCTCGTACCGATCCAGAAGTAAACAACCACCACGTGGTCTGAGGGTAAACAAGTGACCGGATGAAACCTCCCGTGCTGTTATCAGCAATAAACATACCGTCTTTTTTGCTTTGCAGTTTGCACTTTGCAGCAAACTCAGTATTTCTCGACTGACAAGTGATCATAGCTGATCATTGATTATTCCCTAGAACAGAGGTAATTTGAATTTTTCACTTTTAAACGTTACTTTTATAGCAATTAATATTTTTCTTTAAATAGTTAATTATATTTACAATACTTTCTCACATGAACTACCATGGACGTTTGCTTAATTGTTTATGTGTGATTTTTTGTGACAGATTGTTCAATAATTTGTTTGGAAATAATATGTACAATACACATAATTACTTGAGTTTAAAAAAACCTACAGAATTAATCAGCATAGCTAACATGCCAGAAAGTATCAGTTTTGGATTGACCGATGACCTCTACCGTTTCTGAATAGGCTTAACAAAATTAATGTCAAGATGAAAACGTTTCAAAATTCATGATTAAAGTTTGGTAATGTGTTTTATATACAGATTCCCAGTTGTGCATAATTTTGTATGTACTGTTTTCCTTCTTCGGGTTCATTAGTGATCAAAGTCTCCCTTTCTCCCACTGTGATTTAAAAAAAGTTAAAGTCGGCCTCTTTGCGACCACTGTGACCAGTATTAGTCTGTTGTACAATTTCCATTGATATCTAGAGCTCCTCATTAAGCGTAAGGCGTTTTTACCAGATCCCAAAGCTTTTTGATAGCTCCGTAATGTGAATCCTTCAGTCCCAGGCTTTTCCTCTCCCAGGATTAGGAATTTCAGCTTACACAGGCCTTCGCACCAACAGAGGACATGTTCTGCTGTTTGTTCTTTTTCTCGGCAATATCTACAGGCTTGTTTCTCCCACTCTGAGTCTATATATATGCCTCTGGAGTCTGCAGGGTCGTCAGCAGCCGAACTATCACTCTAGTCCTAGTTCCTGCTAGATTTAGCTGTTCTGCCATTAGTTGATGAACATTTTTGTAAGACTCCGTCGAGAAATACATCCCCATTGGACCAAGGGCTGGATAAAAATCCTAGTCTTTAAGACTCATTTCGGCTTCTCACCCTCATCATTGGGGGTTTGTTTCTCGACTCTACAAAAGAAAAAAATTGAATAATGCATTTTTTCCTTCTTTGCTTATTTCTTTAGGTCTTAATAGCCTTTCCAAAGAGGATGTATTTACCATGGTAAAGACCCTCAATTTGTTTGAGGGGTTTTCTTCTTCCCAACATCTAGTTATTTTTATTTTGAAGGATGGGGGTGTCAATGGCCGCAGCAGTTAAGGCATTGACATGGCACTTGTCTCTATAAGATAAAGGTCCCGGGTTTGAATACAGCAGCCCGGTATTCAAACCTGACATACTTACAAATGGGCTTTAAAAAAAAAAAAACTTAAGAAAGAACTTAAGGATGTTCAATCAGGGATGGGGGCATCGGGGTGGCCGCAATGGTTATGACATAGTGCACTGTGAGGCAAAGGTGAAGAACCCACATACCTACAAATGAGCGTTCCCCCCCCCTTCAAAAACACCAGAGGATTCATATGACCTCATTAAAAAAATATTACTATATTATATTATCCTGGTAGTAAGTTAAAGATTAAATTGCTTAAAATAAAATTTAAAATAGTCAACTTAGCTTTGGTATATTGCATTTATTGTGGTCTTTGATGTCATAAACCTGAAAAACTGCAGTTTGATCATCTCCGATCATCCTTATTTGTATTCTTCATTTCTTTGTTATTGTCGTCCCCCTTTTTTTTATGGTTGTTTTTATGAATTTTTTGAAGGTAATTACAGAAATTTTTAAATATACCTTTTACATAAATTCTGTGCCATTTTTAAGTACATTATTTTTAAATAGAATGGGCAGTCATGTTGGGATTTTTTAAAATGTTTTTAACATATTAGGAATATTGAAAGTACAGAATATTAAGATCAGTTTTAAATCATTAGCTTTAAGGGTTTTGCACACCAAACAATTTTAACATTGCAATAGGAAGTTAATTTTCTTTGCACAGCTGCAGGGGTACCACAAGGCAGTATCTTAGCACCCATCCTCTACACAGTATACTCCACAGACATTCCTGCCCATTTCAAAACTATCCTTACCTCCTTGCAGATGGTTTCTTGGTCTCTCTACCACCATCTCTTTAAGATCCTAACTTCTCAACCAGAAACCTTTAAAAGTTTGTCACAACACTTGAGTAGTGGTTCAAGTGGTGGCGATAAACATACAAAAATGTGAACCACCCTTCGAAGAACTCTGCTCCCATCTACCTCAATAATATCTCATCTTCCACCAACTAACCTTGTTTTATATATTAACAAAATGACTTACATGGAACCCGCACGCATGACTCAAAACTCAGGAATTAAACAGAAGCTGCAGACTTCAACAAAGCATTCAAAGCTGATTACTAAACCAACAACTATTTACATTATTATTTTGAGACCAATTTGGACATACAGCGTTGAACATTGGGATTCAACAAAATGTTCCAACCTCCAACATATCCAATCCCTACAATCCAAAATCCGCCAAACTACCATCAGTGCTCTGTGTATCCAATTTTTCTATTCACAATGACCTTAATAGCATGAATATGTCCTTGAAGTAGCAAAAAACCACTACAAGAAATTTCACAAATAATTATCCTGTCACACAAACCATGAGAAACTTTTCATCCCACTCCGTTCCAAGTAATTCTTCATGACGACTGGCGTCAAGGTCTCATGACCTAAGAAACAGGGAAAATTATTAATAATAATACATAGGAGTAGAGAATTTCACTTTTTGTAAATGATGGTTTTACTCATAGAATTTGTTTTTTACAACTTTTGTCATAAGTAGCAAATTCTGTGAGTAGAACTTCATTAACAAAAAATGAGTAGTTCCTTTTTTTATGTTTATTTTTGTGCCCAATTTGTTTTGCTTTTTAAAATGTAATCAAATTTACTTAACCGCAGCTTTGGTGCAGGTGTAAATAATTTTTTTTTTCATTATTAGTTTCAGGATGGTCGAGTCATCAGAGGTCGAGGCTAACATGACACCGATCGAGTCAAGCTTCCGTTTCCATGATTTTCAAAAGGCAGTATTTGGCATCGATATCGGCTTTAAGGTGATAAAAATGGAGGAGTCGTATTTCATCTGGGTCGGCATGGTCTCCAATAAGGTTTTAACAGATTTGAGCACAGCAATTATGACGAGATTCCAACCCATGCCTCTCGCCACGAGCCTCTTCGGGACTGAAACGGACATCAACTCGACCGCCTTGGCTTCTAAGCTTTCAAAAAAGCTTGGGACACCTGTGCTCCTCAGCTACAACCTCTCTGACCAACGGATGCTGGTCGAAGTTGAGAAGATTTTGTGGGAAGAAATAAATACCAATTCAGATTTCTTTAGATGAGAATCAACCAAAACAAAAACAAAATTGTTATATATTTTTGTAATTATTATTTTATTATAATTTTTTTGCATTAAAATACGTTTTTATTATATGAATAAAAGCACATCTAATACAATATAAGCAAGCCATATAAATCAGAAAATTAATACACATCATGTTTCAAACTTTTTTATTGTTTATTTCATTTTTTTTTTCAAACTTTATAATACTTTATTTATGGACAACTTTCAATTTTGGGGATCACAGTGGCTAAGTGGTTAAGGCATCAACTAATAGCCCCTATATATATTTTTTTGTTAAATAGTGATAGCATAATTGCATAACCCTTGTAATATTAATTGAGAATAATTTGAATAAAATATTGTAAAGTGGTTTGACCCCTTGCCCGTGACACCCAATTTTTTTTTTTTTTCCATCAGAACCTGAGGATACTGGACATCTTTACTGAAGTGCTCAAAAGCACACGTCTCTTCTAAAAACATTCACATATTGAAGCAAGCCTGTACGTGAACAAAGTAACCCGCACAAGACAACTGAAGAGGACCAAGCCCTAAGAACTTTGTTTCTAAACTTCATGAACTTTAATAAACAAAGAAATTACAATAAAAATATCTACATGTTGGTGGCCACTATGGTTAAAGGATTGGGACAGCAATGCAACACTGTAAGCCATAAAGTAAAGATCATGGGTTAGAATTCAGCGTCCCTGAAAAAATCCAGTTTAAATAAATAAAAAACAAAAATTCATACATCAAGAACATGTCAATAAACAAGCCTTGAAGGATCTGACTCATAGATAAAGGGTTGTCCTCATATGAGAAAAGACCATGCAAGGCTGACACTTACTTTTGGGCCAGTCTGCGCTTATTTGTCCGAGGTGGCTCGAATTGAAGGCTACCACTCCTTGGCTCCACATAGAGAGCATGTAGGAATGCCACATGATGTGAGAATGGTGCTTGAGCACGACAGCAAGTATCTGCACGCCATTCAAATTTTACAGGAATCAGGAATTTTACAGTATTTTATAGATAATTCTCTTTGTGTTTCTTATGGTATATTGAAAATGAATGTATTTATAAGCATGAATGTGTGAAGAAGACTGATGGCATAATATTGAGTATCCCATTGAGAAAGAATAATGATGGAGGAATATCAAGTACTCCATGAAGTGAGTGAATTGTATGTAAATAAGAAAGAATGTAACTAAGAGCGAGTGAGAGTGTGAATGGGTTTGGAGTAAGATACAAATGCATTGGATGCTTAAATGACCTAGCTTTTGATATCCCTTGGTGACTACACAGGTAAGACCTAGGTCTAACCAAGATTGCCAACACCCAGGGTGGGTGATTCTCGAGACCTGCCGGTAATTTATTGTAAATTACTCAAAATCAGAAATTGCCAGCGAGCTGTTAGAAGTGATACATAAATTGTGTATGTACATGCATGTGCAGAGTTGAGCTTGTATAAATCAGTAATTTGCAATTTATTTTGATCAAAACTCATTGTGCTCGCTAGTTCCATTCAATAACCAACAAAATATGAATATGAAATCAATCAAATAACAATATCGATACCAAATTTATTTTCAAATTCAGTAAAACAATATTACAAGACATTTTTGTTGTTTTACAATGATGGCAATATTGCTTTGATAAAAGATTGTACATCATTCGCTTATGATACATTTCTTACGTTTTTATCAAAAAATAACAAAGCTTCACACAATAATACAAACAATAATTACAAAATATAGTTTACATTATTATCATATGTTAAAATAAAGTCACAGTATATTTCACAGTTTGAAATTATTAAAGGAATGGCTAGTGTTAAAATCAGTAAACTAGGTTTTTTAAATATGCTAACTCTATCTTTTTGGCCTATGAAATCTACAACAATATTCATCATAACAAAATAATTTTATTGTCACAGAAGGCTCAATCACCGTTGCTAATAGATAATGTTGATGTAATAGTAAATATTAGGTGGGCTAATAAAAGAAAGAAAGGAAGTTTTATTTCTTAATTTTATATGTGATCAAAATATTTGTTTTGATCAGGTTTTAGGTCACTGAATTTTTCAGAAATGAAAAATATGAGAAATTTTAATCAAGATTTACAATTTTATTGGAAACTGCCATTTTGAAAAAACAATTATAATGTTACATTAATTCAACATGTTTACAGATATTTTTAAAAATTTATTTTGAAAGGGAATATTTTAACATAATTTGTAGTATGTGATGTTTTATGGAAAAATTTGAGGATATTGACAATAATGTCATCTTAATTGGCTTTAATTAGCTTGCTTGCTCATATCTCAAAGAATTGTTGAGTGCATTGTGAGTTACACAATCTTCCGATTAAATTTTAATATTGTTCCAAAATCGATTATATTTTAAAACTTATAATTGTACAGAAAGCCTAGAAGAAAAAACTGAAGTTAATAGTGTTAACTACGTTTGTGTCTCTCCACATTCTAAGCAGCTGTAAAAGTACAGTTTAAAATGAAATAAAACAAAGCGCTGAGATTAAATTGCCTTATAAATTTGAACTTCGACATGCTTAAAGAAATAAAATTTACAGCTGGTGGTAGGATCAGTTAGGCAATTTTGAAAATAATAATTTGGAAGCCCACTTAAACTTATTTATTTAAGTAAACACTTGTTGTATGGAAGTTTTTGAAATCGTTATTGGAATGATTTAAAATATAATAAAATACCATTACATGCTTTGAATTAGTCAATATAAATTATAGTCAGATTTCTCCGTAGGGTGATGTACCTGTAATTTGGTCTACCTATCCTTGCTGGGTTGTTCTGTCAGAGGATTCGGCATTTCGTATCAGTGTTGGGTGATTTTTTCCCCCCACCAAGACCCACACTGAAGAGGACAATTGATTTTTATTGAGCCAGTCTACTTAATTTTTCTGTGTCCATATATTTTGTCTTTCAGATCAAAAATATTGAACTACTATCAACATTTCCGCCCTCAGAGGCAAAACCCTCTGCATCGGTGCCACATGTATGTATGGCTCAAACCATGGTCGAAGGCGTATATCTGAATCACTTGATCAAAACTGTCCAGCCCAATTGGCTCTAACTTTAACATATTAAAATATTTCACTCTATAGAAAGATTTGTCTTTACCTGGCAAACCTTAGAGAGTTCTGAGCACAAGACTGAACAAGACAAAATGCTGAAACACATCTGACAGACCAACCTAGTGAGAAAAAGACAACCACAAACTTGGATGAGGGAAGCCATAGGCAAAAAAGATAAGCAAAACCCAGGAAAAGGCTTTTTTAAAATTATTTTCTGACAAAAAATATTCTTTGATTGTTGATAAAGACTCTGATTTGTTCAATAGATGGCCTCTCTAAATGAAATATACAAACGAAATTGTACCTATTAGTCCCCAAATCGCTTCATGATTTTAAAAAATGTATATATTTTTTATGATAAGTATGTATAACTGTCCAAAAATGTTGATATTGAACCCATCAACTTATAATTAAGGAAAATGCACTAATAACCTTCCTGGCAACTTGCATAGCAACAAAAGTCGTACAAATTGTATAAAAAGATTCCGTAGAAACAAAAATATTCATAAGGCTCGTGAAAGCAGCAGATGGATTATAAATCATGACAAACATCTTAATCGTAAATGGAATGTCCATTATATCCCACCACTGAAAAAAGTTCAGATTTCAGCATCCCTTCCACAATAATTTATGAGATTTTGAAGAAGTCTGCAAATCGCAGAAAACTGTACTGGGTGGCTGAGGGAGAATATTGTGCTTTAAAACTTTGCATCCTCGCTGTAGCTAGTTTATACCAGCTTTTTTAATCAATTCCAAGTACAGATTCTCTTGGTCTAAAAGATACACCTTGGATTTTTTTATAATGATTTGAAAAGCAAAGGCAGTCAACTCAAGAACACAGTGAAGACCAGTCGATCAAAAGGACTCAGTCGAGCAGCCTAACTCAGTCAGAGACACAGCCAGTAAGGAAAAGTCTGACAGAGTCAACTGTCCAGGATCCACGAAGCTGCAGTAAGAAGATCCTGGAAGACGCTGAAGGATGTGAAAGCTGGTCTTGTGAAGAATCATTTGGAATAAATTATCTTGTGAATAAGCTCATCCTCAGAGATAGAGTTGTGGCTAACTTGACTTGTTTTACTTTTTGTTTGTTAATTTCAAAATTTAATGGATTGTGCACAATAAATGTTTAAGAATACTATCTCTCTGGTTTATTGGAATTTTACCTTCCCCCACACAAAAAATAGTTAAGCACATATGCTTAAATAAGCATAAAGTTTTGAAAAGCTCTGTTTTAAAGTAGTTGTACACATTCTAACAACAATAACAAAAAATATTGTATTTTTCTACAGGAAAAATCTTTGTTTCAATTTAAACCAAATGCGAGAGTAACAACAATCCAATTCCTGTAACTTGTACACTGCTTAACTTGTTTTGGTCTGCTTATACTCGCTAGATCTGCATTTCGACATTTCACCATGTTCAGTATGTCTAATGACAGGCCCAGCGATGATAAGCTTAGTAATGACCCAATTACGGGTTCTTCACCCTCTAAACCACATGGAGAAATCTCAATTCATTTCCTATTGACTGTTTCCCATTAGACTGCATCTTACAAACTAACAAAAGTTTTGTATACCACACACAACAAGATTACCTAATATGACTTCATATTGTATAAATTTAAAAATTATCTTATTACATCATGAAAAGCTTTCAGTCATCAATATTCTCGATGCCTTTTTACATAATAACCACATATATTGTACATATTGCATAATTCTGCTAGAAATGAGGCGTATCTTACCATTTATACTGATATGTTTTGTTTAATAAAATATTTTATTATATTAATAACAGAATTTATGTAACTATAATCAACAATCACTAATTTGGACATATCATAAACAAAATGAATCTTTCAATGAAGTAATTAATTAAGTAACAAATTCATTTTCGTATGATCTTTATGTTTTGATTTGTTTAATTTAAAAATAAGACAATTTAGATTTTTCTTCTCCCTGTAGCTGCAATGGACAGAATGAAGGATCCTGTACCTAAAGAAATGTATAGAGACAACTTGATGTAATTTTTTAAACATTATTACAAGAATTTTATAACGACTGACTAATATAATGGATCAAAAGCAATGGGTTACACAGATTTCAAAATTTATAACAAGGATTAAATATCACTCGACAACACCAAATATGTAAGGGATTAAAGTTAACAGGAGTCGAAAAATTAAGGGAGAAGAAAAATAAAAGAAACCACAATAATTATTTTACTGGTGACGACGGTCTCTTAAAAGTAGATACTTTGCCAATGAAGCCAAAAACAACTTGGCGGTACCTCAAAAATTATATTGATTTTCGTTGAAAATACTGTATAAAATTAACATTATTGCCATTGTGAAACTGGGCATAACTTATAAAAAATTGTATTATTTATTATACTAATTAGAAGATACGACTTTGGAACACCCATTTTATTTATTATTTGCTGTAGATAAATAATGTTTTGAAAATTTAATTAAAATTGTAATATCGCAGACAGCAGTTTTTAATAGAAGCAAAACTAAGAATATAAAAGATACAATTGCTTTTGATGTAATTTACTTTCATTTGATGTGTTTTCCCACAGTTTTAACAAATAAGCACGTATTTATTCTTCTATTCTATCAGCAGAATACATTTTTAAACATAACAAATATGTATATTTAAATTATCTACTTCATTTAGCGAGTTATTTTATTTTTAAATAAAGTGGGTTTTAAATAAATAAGATTTAATTTATTAACTAAACAGGTAAACTTTTTTTTAATGAAAAAACACGTTTTACTTCCAATTTACATATGGAAAAACTTTTTAAATTTTTACTATCGTAAAGTAACACAAATTTTAGCAGACAAGAGAGAATTTGGTTTTTGGTAAAATAAAATCTACTAACTAGTTTATCTCAAATTTCTAAACGGGTGTGCCAAAGTTAGCATCTCCAAAACCGTCGACATACGTATTTGAATTCGGTTCTGGATAGTAAACCTTAAGTTTGTCATTTCTTACCGTCTCCTTCGTTTGAACTACATGAGACTGTAACTGTGATGGCGCATACTGTATGCTGTTTGGTATCGATTCTTGCCGTGCATGCTCTTTTGCTAAATACTCCACCTCGCGTTCCTGCTCCTTCCAAGCCCCGCTGGGCGTGAACGTCCGAAATATTTTCTGCAAAGTAGTTACCCCTACGTGTAACGGGCTGGCTGTCTCTCCTCCGTTTGTCGTCGCCTCCTGCTGTGGTTGTTTTTCATTTGGAGCATTTTGATCTTGATTTAACCTCGGACTGCTAGGATAACTGGATTCAGAAGGATCCCTATAAATTGATTAATTATATTGCCAGTTCATATCCAATATTTAAATAAAAACTAGATTAAAGAAATTTACCGAACAGATGATTCAGGTGTTCTAGGTGCTGTTGGTGTTAGCTCTTTGTTATAACCATTCTCATAAGTGGTTAGGCGATTTCCATCATTGAAGAAACCATACCTGTAGAAATAACCTCATGAAAATCCAGTAACATTTAAAAAAATATATTTCTGTATTATATGTACCTTAATTGAGACATATCAGAATCGTCTTCAGTCTCGTCTTGGCCCACGTACTTAACCTTTAATTTCACTTCTCCAAATTGGTTACTAAGAATTTTGACAGCCTCATTATGGCTTACCTGAAAAATAAAAATTTACTTAAACTTTTTTTCTTTTTTTTTTTAATTAATCATACCTGTGTAAGGTCAATGTCATTCACACTAAGTATCGCATCTCCAACGTAAAGTTCTTCAGTGCCACCGCCAGGCTCTAATTCTGATATTAAAATAGGCACCCCGTGTTCTCTGCCTCCCTGAATAAATGATCAATAGTATGAAATTAATTTATTTGAATTTCTATAGCAAACTAATTTACCGTAATTGAAATTCCTAATCCTAGATTGTTGTCCCTTTTCAAAACAACCGTCCTCGGTGTGTTAAAAGCGTCTTGACAAGGAGCTCTCGATTCCCGCTGTCTTACCGCTCTGACTAACGTTTTTTGTCGTTGTACTAATATTTCCGCTTCTAACTGTGCCCAGAGTCTATCTTTTACTGCTGCAACCATATCGTTTCGGCCAGCGAGTTGCAACTGTTGAATTCTAAAACCAACATATAAAATAAATCAAACTGTGAAAGTTTTTATGATTCGTTAAAATTTACCTCCCGGCTAATTCTTTGTCTAAATACCTAGCCGAAAGTCTCGCTCCACAGACTTCGGCCTGTAAACTGGCTATAGTAGCTCGAAGCGATTCGTTTTCTATTTCCAGCCGCCTTTTCCAATTTTCTAAGTGCCTCACTACTTTATCCATGTTTATACCTTATGAATTAAAGTAAAACTATTGTTTTACAAACAATTCCAAAGAAATTATCATCAAAAGAAGGATGTACCAGAATGATTTGCACGGTGTGTAGGAGAACGTTCTGCTAAAGCCTTGTTGAGGCTCGAAGTTATATTTGTGCCCTCTTCTTTGCTCATGTGCTGCAGTTGTGCTTTATGAACTTGGACGAATACATTGTGGAGCTCTTCAGTCAGCTCGTCATTTCTCGATTCAAGATCGACCAAACACGACCTCATATTCACAAGCTCAGCCTAAAAATCAATATCCTTTAAATAAAATGTACCGTTCAATGAAAAACTAATAAATTAAATTCATTTATCGAACATTTTCATAAAAACATTATATTTGTGTATGAGCATAGATATATAGTAATATACTTAGTGATGTGTCACAAATGATAATAGTTTAATTGGACAAGTTGCTATTAATCTTATTACGATCTTTGCATGAATCCCCTTCACACGAAGCAACTCGTTTCCTTCCAAGTGTAAAATGAAAATGAAAAAATATCTGTGCCACAAACTCAAACAAATCAATAGCAAAAAGACAAAATTCGGGACCTGATCCAAATAAATTATAACAATATTTTTCAAAAAATAAATGTATTCAGATTTTAAAAAAATAAAAATAAGTGATCTATGACATACGCAGCTAACTCCTTGCCATTTAAAAAAAAAAATAAAATAAAAATAAAAAAAAATAATAAAAAATAAAAAAATTCGCATTATCAACTGAACTAAAGCCCATAAATCATAAAACTACTACTAGTACTATAGAATTTAATGAGGGGGGTAAAGTGGACATGTATTTCCAACTGTAGGCATTTTTATCGTTATACACAACATACTTATTTTAAAGTAAGCAAAATTAAGATCAGAAATTCACGAGTTTTAATAAAAATTATTTAATTATGATGGTTTGAAAGAAAATTCACCAAAGCACAAGAAAATTAATAGTAGTAGTAAGTAATAGATTAAAATTTAACTAAATATATTACCTGGGGGTTGCTCTTAATAACATGTATGACCTCCTCTGGCCTCATGGAGGGCCTTAAAGTCTCTAGGTGTCAAGTAAATAAGTGATTGGATTTCATCTTGTGAAACAGAATCTCATTCTCCAACAAGAGCGGTTTGAAGCAGTTCAATGCTTGTTCGAGACAGCGAATGTCTAACCCATCTCTATCATGTTCGATATGTGTATACTATAGGATTTCTCCCTTGTTACCATATTTTCAAATATCATGTAATCAGGATTAAATTTTCAGTGACTATGAAGTGGTCACGGATAGCTGTTAGCGAAGCGATTCCTTCTTTTCAATTATTTTAAATCATGTATTTTAGTGGTTATAATTGACCATATTAATTATTTCGAATAATTATTCTTGTTATCTAAGGTCTTGGTCGAGATGAAAAAGATGGTGTCAGGAGTGGCATTCGAACCCACAACCCTCAGCTCAATATACCACTGCTTTAATATCTTGAGCTATCATGACTTCTGTCGACCCACACACCAACTCCTCATCTCAACCTACACACCTTTCAAACTTTTTCTTCTTTTTGTTATATTTTCAAATGCCATGTAATCAGGATTCGATTCTCATCAACTATGAATTGGCCATGGGGAGCTGTTAACAAAGTAATTACTTCTTTATTTATTATTTTAATCCATGTATTGGTTGGTGTCTAAGTGGACGAAAGTCACAACAGCTCATGTGTCTATGATGCACTTTGCCGTGTTACTGACAAAACCAATCAAAATTAAGACTTAATTTTTGAGGCTCTTTTCCTGTCCGAAGAATAGTGCCAAAGGAACGAAAAATTATGACTTTGATTACAATTATGAAAAAAAGGACTTAAAAAATTAAAAAACCAAAACAACAAAAGGAATGGCGACTACCGTGTTTCAGCACATTCTTTTTAAACAAGAAATAAACTGCCAAACACATTCATTAATAAAAACAACAAAAAGGCTCACTGGAGTTGAAAAAAAAAGTGCTGTGAAGTCAACAAGAACTTGAGAATGAGAAAGCAATGAATCCAAGTTGATGGCTCAAGTTAGCAAATTTCTTTCTTAAAAAAAAAAAAAAAAAAAAAAAAAAACTTACGACCTCAGGAAAAAATCTAAGAGAGACTGTCCGTGGTTCTAGCAATCCCCAACAGGTTCAGCGCTTCAACCATTCAGCGAAATATATCCTTGTTGATGCTCTGGCATTTTAGATCAGAGCAGTGGCGCACTGAGCAGAGGGTCGTGGGTTCAAACCCCACTCGTGACAAAATAAAAATAAAAAAATGGGTCTACTATTAATCTTTATACCTTGTCTAAACGGAATGGAAAATAAATATGTTTATGGTTTGTTTTTTGTTTTGTGTGTACAAACTGATACTACTGGTGATAACAATTATAACTAATAGTAATTTTGATTCACTCTTTTTTTTCAGCCTGTCCTGGAGGGTGTCTTTAAGCAGGGAAAAGATAGTAAATGCTTAGATTTGTAAAAGTGTGCAAGAATGAATGATAGAGACCGGAAATATTGTCAGTCGGTTGATGGATGTGCCCTCGGGCCACAGCTTCCAGAAGAACTTCCTCAATGTACCTTAGTGCAATCAAAAATCTATTCAGTATGATAATCAGTTCGGTACGGGCATGGGCTATCATTCCACCCCATTCCATAACTGTCATTGAAAAGGCTGTGACTCACATGGCCCATGAAGCAAAGCATTAGCAATAAACTTAGATTTTTTTTTGCTCATGTTGCATTTGGAGGTGTGACTGCACAAAGATTAGATAAATCATGAAGCATTAGATTCATTTTAATTACTAAATTATATATGTAATATGTGCATAATTTTTATTTTAAAATAAAGCAAGTTGATAATAATGATGAAATAAACAACATATTCCAAAAATGCACTGTTTTACATATAAAATAGCATAATACAATTCAGGAAGGAATCAGAAGGAAGAAATGAACTACTGTCTGCTCATCAGTGTTCAGAAGATGATGTTAATTGAGTAAAGGACCAAAAATAAAATGATGACATAACAAAGGCCTGGCCGAAACACAATTAATTGAGACAAACATAACCAGAGTGGAAAGGAAGTATTACTCATTCACATAGACCAGAAAAATGTCATTAATTAATTGACAACAATTTTATAAATGAGACTTATTTAAAAATCCTTATAATAAAAAGAAGAAAACAATAAGTAAAAATTCTGTAATCAAATGATGAGACAACGGCGGAAATAAAGCAAAATAGCAAGTGGATTCCAGCGAGCCAGGAAATCCTGCCGGCTCAATAAAATTATTCGTAGGTGAATAAGATTCCTCCTCATGTGTAAAAAGAAGATGGTATGGAGAGGGGAGTCCCTGATAAGGGGGAGGCCACTTGGGTGGGCCTAAAGGCAGTTCCAGGCCCAAGTCTACTAATAGTAAGTAGCATCAACTCTCTTGCTAACACAACAACTAATTTTAGCGCAAAACCAACGTGTTTTCATCGATTTACCTTTTATTAAAACATTTTTCTAAGTTAATTAAACTAGCTGTATTTGTCTCTTTATTAATTTTTGGAGAACCGTTAAAAGTTATGGAAAAATTCCCCAACTATGCCATTCCTAAATTTTATGCATTTCATTGAATCAAGACAATTTGTTTTCTGAACATTTGCAATGAAATAAGTTCAATTTAGCCTATTTTGCTAAATTTCAACTCTAGTAAAAATTTAAAAGTTAGATTAACATAAAAGAAATTTCTATTTAAAAAAATTATTTGACCTGCTGCTTATTACTTTGTTAAAAAGAAGTTCAAATCAAAAATAATATACTAAAATTATTGGTAAATTAATAGTGAAATTATAATTATGACTTCAATAATGAAATTGAGATAATTTAGGTATTTATTTTTAATAATTTTCAGTTCGCACAATAGTTTTATTTATATATAAACATTTATATAAACCCTTATAGAACTTGTAACTGGGTATATTTACACATATAAGTAAATAAAATTTACAATATACTAGATTTAACCGAAGTTATATCCTAATGTAACTAATCACGGCAGCAACTCATCGTTTTAAGATTATCTTTATCTCCCTTATTTCTAGGAATGAGTAGATAATCCTGGTTGATATGCCAATAAAAGGTTGATGTGTATACTGCATATGATATTGCAATGGGCATCCTTGTTAAATATAGAAATACATTTTTCGATAAAAAGTTTCTATTAAATGTATAAAAGGTTTTGTTTGTGCGTGTATTTCTTTTTTATATCGAAGCGATAGCCTATTGGCCTTCATTTTGGACGATAAGACGTCTGTGTTTTATTAATACTATATCGGAATTGTTATGAATTGTTTTATTGTTGGCTTGCTTGCAAAGAATATTGTGACTTTTCTTGATTTGTTTAAAAATCCAATTTTATCATCAAAAATTTTGGATCACAACAAAGGAAAAACCCAGAGCGTTATGTAAGTTTGTAAAATAGAATTTTAACACTTTAGAGGAAAAAAAACTTCAGCTAAGAATATTCAAAAGATGCCATAAATATGCTAAACGTCCCGATTTATTGCCTTTTGATGCACCAGACAAAGACTGTCTGTTTTTCTCCCTCTTCCTCTTCTATTAGAGAGTCCAATGTCAGTGAAACCATTCCTTGAAAGCCGACTCTGTGAAATTTATGATCATCCTAGACAGTGCCTTAAATTTCAATTCTTTTTACTTTACTCTTTATGCTCGAGAAGAGGAAACAATTTATAATTTGCCTTAACATTTTTACATAAAATCCAATACCGGGAAAGCATAATTTAAAATGGAACTAAGCTTCTCATGATTTAAGGTTTATAAACAATAAGCCCCTAGGGTATATATATATATTTTTTAAATTGTCAATTAAGGAAAGGAAACAAAATAATTTGATTTTCTTCTTTTTGTTGTTGTTTTTGTATTATGTCTATTTGCACATGGTTTGACATCAGAATTTCAGTATTACTTTATTCTACACTAGTTCGCAGATAACAAATAACCAAAAATAAACCATTAAAGTAACCACATTGCTAAAAAGTTCAATGACTTTTAATAATTAAACTAGTTTGATTATTAAACCGAAACATTCTTTAACTTATTGGGTAAGAAATGGTATGGTAGGAACAGATGCTGGCAAAATTGGATCCATATATCCAAGCTGGAAAAACATTTTTGTGAAATTTATAAAACACAATTACCTTACGAAATGATTTTTTTTTAACAATTGCTTTTTTTTAGATGACTTAGAAAACATAGAAGAAATGTAATTAAAATGGATTTATTTAAGCGGTTAGGGCTGCTAATAGTGTTTTCCATAATTACAAATCATTCCGCCTCTAGTCCAAGTTCTATTCATGCAACTTCAATAACAAAGGAGAAGTACCAAAGGCATGCTGACCAGGTATATCTTTAAAAAAAACTTCTGTACTAATCTAACAAAAATTTTTAAATATACAATATTTCTTTGTGCACGATTAGAGCCTTCATTCCACCCTTGTCAATATAGACGATAGGTTAAGAACCATAGAAAGCATACACTATAGTGTGAAAAGGCATGAAATCTCATTAGACAGGATTCTCAATAAAGTTGAATCGATCGACTCCCGTTCAGTTAGAATGCAAACAATTTTGGAAATGAAACTGGACGCATTAAGTCAAGTGAGTTGGTCAAATATTGCTAAAGTTAGTGAAATACTTATTAAATACATTTGGATTAGGCAATAATCTCGACCGAGTTTAAGCATGAATGGCTCTTGAACCAGTTAAGAAAATACGAATCAAATCAAGAAAGATTGAGCTTAAAAATGAACTCCCTCGAAGTAAAATTGGATGATATAACACAAAAAACACAGGTATGACAGTCATCAATATAAACCACTTCAATGAAAACTCAACGGATTCGCTTATTTCAACTAGTTAAGTCAAGAATCCTTCTTCAATAAAATTGAAGACAAACAAGACAAAATTCAATACAAAATCAATGAGTTAACAATGATAACCGGCAATTTGAAACAACAGTCAAGCAGCATTGAACAATCTGTTAACAAAACAAATGGTGATGTCATGAAGAGGTTGAAGGTAAGAGGATTTCATTAGCCCAATTCAAAATACAAAAACAAGATTTGTTTTAGGAAATTGAACAGCAAGTCAATAGAAACGATGAATTGGAAAAATTGACGGTAAGCTTGAACGGAATTCACAGCCACTTGAATCAATCAGATTCACTTTGGACGCAAAACGACGGCCCTGGAATTTCGAAAAATGAAAAAATGATCGATTATATCAAAGGGGAAATAAATGCAGAAGTTCAGAAACTTGGAAATAAGGTAAACACGGTTAACAAATCAACAATTAAAATCTTGTTTACATTTTTATAATATTTAGATACACAACATGTACCATGAAATTTGGCAAAAGACTGATAATTTGGTCGGACAAATCAAAGATGGCTTTACTGAGACGAACCAGACACAGAAAATCATAGTCGATGATTTGAAAAACTTACTAGTGGAACAGAGGGATAGTGAAAGTAGAAATTTTCTTTTAAAGGATAATTTGATAACAAATTGATAAGCTTTTTGCTTTTCTCTTTAGACTTCATAGATTTAAGTATGGACAAAGTTCTATCAGTGTTTCATAAAAGGCTCAATGACATACAGAGAAAACTCGACAATAACTTTCAAAACATAGCATCGGTGCAGTCTCTGTTTTTGGACTCTTGCCAAAGAATACAAGACGATGAATCAGATCTGGACACTATGGTAACTGAAGTCTTGGAAAAAATTCTCGATTTGATTATAAACAGGTTGTTATAAAATCAGACATGCTGTTGTCGTTATTTTATTTGACAGTTTAATAATACGAATGATTCTCAGGACGTCGACGATTGAGAAACAATCAGTCGAACTGTTGGAAGGTGTGAAATCTCACAATATTCAAATAACACGTTTGGCGAAAGACACCAAAAAAATGGTAATGAATTTAGCAGAGGGAATAAGTCTAGATCACAAAAATTTGGATGGCTCTATTATGGATCTGGCAGAAAGAGCTGACATGATAACAACAGTAGTTCAGGTAAAATACCATTTAAAAAAAAAGTAGAATGAAGTAATTTTAAAAAAGTTATTATGTATATTAAACGATATGTTACATTTAGGAAATGCAAGACCAAATGTACGAGTGGAATGATACAAGCAGAAAATCTCCAAATCTACCACCTGCGAAAAAATGTGTGAACTGTGACAATTTCATTTCATACCCAAGTTTAGATTTTTCTGATATGAGCGATTCAAAAAACAAAGAGAAACATATTGATGATATCCGTAATCTTGACAAGGTGCATTATGGACAAGGAGTTGTGAAAGTCATTACAGAATTTGCCCAAGAGCCTAACATCACTCGAGTTAACAGTTCGTCCGATGTTTCAACTGGTTTCAATGCGACAGTCGCTTCAAAAGAAAACAATAAGAAAAACACCCCGTCAAAACAAGATAAAAATGAAATAGAACCCAAAATTCCATCACACAATGAATCCAATAAGACTAAACAGGAAATCCCTGAAATAACTGAAGAAGTCGCAACTCAACTCATGCTCTCGTTCATCAAATTAATTCGAGAAAAAATACTGCTCAGGGATTTTCTCAATGAAAAACTAACTGGCCAAAGTTACCAAAGCATAACTGACATGATTCAGCATTTAAAACCGATAAAAACCATACCAAGAGAATTCATACGAGAGCTGGATCAGTACGATGATAGGGTTAAATTTGATAAAATTTATTCGCATAATGCGGAACCGATGAATTATGATGAGGCGATAACTTATGATGACGTTTATTCATAACAGGGTATTAAAAATTTCTTACTTTTTTATTTTATTTATATAAAAAAGTAAACTAGACTTTCATCATCAATTACTTTAAAAAATATTTGTAAGGATAATTTTACACAACATTTTCAAAGTATTGTCTTTCATAAAAAAAAAGTACAAAGATAGTTTATATTAAAGTCAACCATTTCAAACCAGGAGGCTAGGCAATCAAAGCCTGATTGTACAAATAATTCCAATGACCATACGGACATGTTTAGTGTGTACGTGCATGACTGTGTGTGTCATTTGACATATAATTTAAAATAAGAAGCTAATATAAAACAGTTGTTTTAATAAATTTCTTTTTTAAAAAATTATCTATTTATTTAACAATCAAATATTTTGTCCTTTAATACTATCATACATTTTATTCGGAAAATTATTTTTCCCATGAAACACCTTAAAAATTAAATGGCGTTAAAAATTTGAAACCGTTCATTGTCACACTTGTTTACCAAATTAATTACATTCGGGCGATATTTAGAATATTAGTTTTTCTGCATTCTGTATCAATCATATAATCTCCCGCTTTTTGATAAGTGCCATAAATTCAGTTGACACCCACTTTTCTTTAGTAATACTAGCACAAAATTACTTCACACTAATTCTTTTGAAGGCTAATAAAAATAATAATAATAAACAAGCATATAGAATGCAATACGTTATTTGTTTTGTTTTTAAATGAGATCATAGATAGTCATCAATCACAGTCATAAGATTAAATAATTTGTAAACATAATCTGTGACCTCGAATAAAACCAGTTTTAAAGTTTCAAGCAAAAATAAGTGACAAAAAATATATTACTATGTAGAAGACATAGAAATAATTCAAGAACTTTAAATACCTAGTAATCATGAAATATTAAAGTTGTGTTTTCGGCAATTAAATATGTACTATTTCTTAACAGTTGTTCAAGAATAAAATAAGAAATAAAAATAAAAAATACTAATGAAACTGTTAAAAAAGTACATAAGTGATATATAAAGAGAGATTATGTGATTGATACAGAATGCAGAAAAACTAATATTCTAAATATCACCCGAATGTAATTATGTAAATAATTTCATAAACAAGTATGACAATGTATCTGATGTTCTTGGCATCGGAGGTTGTCAGAATAAATACATTTTGGTTCAGGGAATGGGCTGATTGGCAAGAAAAAAAAATCATTCACTTGGTATAAAATGGGAAAATAGAGATGACGGGTCGGGGTGAAAATGAAAACTTCCCAATGAAAATATTACAAAAAATTCTCTTAAGAAATCCTATACCAGGAGGACTGGCCTTCAGATCTCGAGATCTCGTTCGAATTTTAATATTTATTACAAGAAATTATGTACCAACAGTAATTATTTTTATATTTAAAAAAATCCGTTGTGCATAAGGTGAATATTTAATTTAAAAATTAATTAAGATCATACTCTATGTGCTGTCTAGATCACTCACTTTGTGTTCAATTTAAACTAACATTTAAAAAAAAGGTTTGGTACAGTACAGCTTTTCAAATGTACTCTGTTCATTGAACTGTTGATTTTAGGTGAATTCATTAGGTGGTTGCAATATGGAAATGTAGGGTTGATTTTTTATATTGTTCATTTGTTATTCTCAAATATTTAACATTTTTGGGACTAGTAACAAGGTATCACAGCACGCTCAGGCTAGCATCCTGACTGGGCTCAGTGACAAGGTATCACGTCCTTGTGGTTTTTTGTATTTTAGAAGCCCTAGTTGGACATCACAGCATCTACCAGGCTAAGGTTGTATCCAATGTGTAGCAGACACCTCGTAGTGAATGGAGACCTCCCACACCCTTCCTTTCTCATCCTCATCATCAACAAATCTCTCTTTTCTCCTCCTTCTGTTTGCAATCTGTGTCTCAAACTTTTGCGAAATCGTGATTCATTCTTTTTTCTGAAAACAAACAGACCACAATATCTACGTCTCATTGGAAATGTCCTACGTCCATCTGTTTCTCACTACTGCCCTTCCCAACCCTCTATACTTCCCTACCATCTATCTATCCTATTGTCTTTCTAATTTTTCACCTTTTATCTGCCAACTAGCCTGTTTTTTTTTCTTTTTTCTCTCTTTACATTGATTACTTTTACAGTACTTTTCAGAATAAATTTTGGTTGACCTTATATACATTTAATTTCTATATACTTATATTATTTTTTTTTTTCAATTCTATACAGTTGTGTGAAAAGTTGAGCTAAATAAATCAATTTTTTTGTTATTATGTTTTAAAATACATAATGAGTAAACATTTTTTTCAATTAAATACATACTTTTTTTATCCTTACATTTACATAGAACATTCATTGTAAAGTATTATATCCGAGGAATTACTGTCAAATTTTAAATGTTGGTGCAACATAAAAGGTGTAAGGGTGATTAAAGGAAAAGCTATGAAATTTGATGAATAACACAAAATAAATCAGGCTGGGGGGAGTCAAGTAGTGGCCAAGACTGCAGGCAGAGGAACACATTTTAGCAAGTGAAAATCAGTCCTAAAAAGGTTAATGAGTGTTGTGAACTCATGAAAAGTGAAAATTGTAAATTAATTGATAAATTGTATTTGTCTCACAGGGTGTTCAGACCAAAGTAGTTCTATGCAACCTTTCCTTGGAAAAATAAAATCTCTTTGGTGATGGGACAACTTGGGATCCTAGTAATTAAGGGATGAAAACAGGTGGCACAAGGAAGTGAGAATTGTAAACAAGAGTTGTGCAGAAAATAATATACTCAATATTACCTCAACTTTTGCATTATTTTGAAAAATTGTCTGAGCTTTGTGTGTCAACTGGGCAAAACAGGAACTGAGTGTTGACATCTTCTGCCTTGCTGCATACACCATTTCAGGCTCATCGCTGTCCAACTCGCCTAGAAGAATTTAAATTACATTGCTACCTTTATAAAAGAAATATATTATTACCAGTCAAACCATTGTCAATCTTTGTAAATGAATATTATGTAAGTGTCAATGTTGTAATCTCTTTGAAAAATGCAAATCTTTCATAATTTTACAAGGCTGTAAAACTGTTTTGTTCATTCAAACAGCTCCTAACAAAACTTATACATCTGAATCAATTCCTAACAATTTAAAGAAAATATTGTAGTTTGTAAAATTTGTTTTAGTGTAGTGTTCAGATTTACACATTGTTATCGCAATCTAGGATATTTATATAACATAGCAATTAAGCTGACAAAAAGTATTAAAATCACAAGATAAATAATCTAATCATTCAAAGTTTTTATTATCTAAACTTGTTGCATGCTTCCAAGCCGTCAACTTATCACTGGGGGGGGAGCAATCTTGTGATGTTGGTCTGCATGGTTTTATTTTTGCCAGTTCTTCACAAAACTTAACTTTTGTAGATTTGCTTACAATGAATAATAAGTATTTTCCACTAGAAAAAAAAAAATGTTTTGAAGTATTTTGGATTCAAATTCAGGGACGTTGAGATTGGAACCCACGATCCTTCCAGTGATGAGTCATCATGTCAATGTTCAAACCGTTGTGGCTGCCACCGGCCCAAATTCAAATGTCACCTTCAATTCAAAGCTGGTCTGGGAATAACTAACGTATCTCCAGCTCCAGGGAAAACATAATTCTGATGTGGGTACCAGGACATGAAGAGGATGGAAGACAACAAGCAGGCTGACAAACAAGCAAAAATCAGAAGCAGACCCCATTCGCCTTTGGACCGGAACCGCACATTTGAACCCCCCCCCCCAAGCATACTAAAAGCAGGATTGTACCAACGGATGGAGAAAGAAATGACCAAAGTAGACAAATTCACCAGGTGCAAAACAATCAAAAAAGTTCCTCAAATTCTAAACTAGGAAAACAAAATTCTAACCCTCTCTCAGCAGGCAAGAATTAAGGAAAACAGTAGGTCTTTATTCTGGCCATTGAGCATTATTTTTTAATTCATACAAACATAATAATGCAAATCAAATTATGGACCTTAACATACATATAGGGACATTGAATAAATATATGGTGATTATTGATTATTAGTCGATGATTATTCGGAGATCATGAGATGTAGGTTTTATAAAAACATTTTCTTTATTGTGCCAACGTTTCAATCTTTATTGAGATCATCTTCAGGGCCTGGGATTTACAAACATTGTTTAAATTTAACAAATGCGTGTAGGATGTGGAAAAAAAAATGAATTTATACATTGCAAAAAAATATTTTTTATATTCAAAGTATTTCTACTCGTTGGCATGGCAAAGAAAATATTTTTCTAAAACCTACGTCACACCAGACTCATGATCTCTGAATAATCATTGAATAAATGAACAATTCCTTCATAAAGACTAATATCAGGGTCTCAGACTATCAGAGGAGTCTACCATGATAATTTGAACAAAATTATTAATACATGTCAATATTTAATACATAATAATAGTAATAAGTAATTATAATTCATATATAACAATAATCCCTAATATTTAAATATTGCAGGATCAGAATAAAAAATTGTAGTTTTAGATTTGTAACTGTTTGTCACAACATTTGTTGACTGCTTTACAGTAGTTAACTAATAATGTCCAGTCTCTGCCTATCTAATCTATTCTAAAAAAATTTTCACCCAAAATAGCTCCTTAACTGAAATCTTTCAACCTGTAGTTACTGTAGGAAGAACACTGCCACAAAGTGTAATAATCTTCTTTTTCATATATTTTTTTAAAGTGTTTACAATTTAAATTTAAACATCACCTCTGATTATAATAATCCACCTTATAGTATCGAGTGTTAGGCTGCCATTTAAATATTGATTTTCTAATTCAAAATTAAATTTGCAATATAATCGAAAAATTGGCTAATTTTCAATTTTATCTTCACATTCTTTATTGAAATTAATTTGCAGAGAATTTCTTATTTATTTAAAACAGGTTTTCCTTGATTCTACATTAGTTATGTTAAAGCGATTTAATGTTGTATCTATTTTAAAAAATTTCAAAAAGATTTGTATCTGCTTGAACCAGTATATTTCTTTTTTTATTACTTGAATAGCTAAGATTTTTGGTAACCTATTATCTGGGAGACATAAGATTTTGGTTATGATATCAAAATGCAATTTAATTGTAAACAGAAACATGAGGTCTGTTTTGTTTCCGTTTGGAGAAAGAAGTAGGGTGTATATTGAGGGAGTCTGACCAGGTTTTGATGAAGAAATGCTGTACCTTTCTATTTCCTCATACTCTTCCCAATCCCATTCTTGACTCCATAATAAATCACAGATCTACAGATTGTATTTTTACTTTTTCCAATTTTTTCACACTTTTTATTTGGCATAGGCCTCCATTCCTAAAGATCACCCATTTTGACTTCTCACGATTGATTTTTAAATTCCAGTTTTTTCAGTTATCTAATGAGTTGATCATTCCTTGCAATGATAAGGATTGGAAGCTAGTAATACCAAGTCATAAGCATATGCGAGCAGATTATCCTTAACATCACTTTCAAGACGTACACTTCCATCCAGCTGGATATCAAGATCATTCAGGTACAGAGAGAATAGAGTGGGACTGAGAAGACAGCCCTGCCTACCCCTGTTTCGGCTTGAAATTACAACACTAATACAGCAATAAACCAGTATTTGTAAACAGATTTTTATAGAGTTTATAATTTTAGAAAAGAGGCCTAGTGCACAAAGTTTAAATATACATGCGAATCTGTTCCATTCTTCAAGTGTCCAAGCAAAATGTCGATGATTGCCTTTCTACTCCATGCTTCTCCAATAGTAGAGAATCTGATGCGGGACATATACACTAGGCTTATCCCTAAATTATGGAATGTTTAGAGTTGACTACCTATCAAGGAAGCCGTTAAATTTACAGCTACACTTCCATAATGTGGTAAAAGTGATAAAATGAACATCTCTATCCGTAGTACATCGCAGTCCACCACTAACATCAATTTAGACTTTCATTGGCCCAAACCATATATGTTTAGTGGTCATAATGGACCATATTAATTATTTCAATTAATTATACTTTTAATCTATGGCCTTAGTTGAGATGAAAAAGTTAGTGTCACAAGCGGGATTCGAACCCATGACCTTCGGCTCAATACACTGCTGCTCTAACCACTTGAGCTATCATGACTACGATCCGCCTAGACACCAACTCTTCATCTCAACCTACAATCTTTCAAACTTTTTCCTCTTTTTGCCATATTTTCAAATGTTGAGGAATCAGGATTTGGTACTCAACGATTATGAAGTGGCCATGTGGAGCTGTTGGCGAAGTAATTACTTCTTAAATTATTATATTAATCCACATATTTTTAGCAGTCATAATTGGCCTAATTAATTATTTAAATTAATTAAACTTTTAATCTAAGGTCTTGGTTGAGATGAAAAACTTAGTGTCACGAGTGTGAATCAAACACACCACCCTTGGCTTAGTATGCCACTGTTCTAACCACTTAAGCAATCATGACTACGATCTGCCTAGACACCAACTCTTCATCTCAACCTACAATCTTTCTCTTTTTCCCATATTTTCAAATGTCGTGTAATCAGGATTTGGTTGTCAACGATTATGAAGTGCCATGTGGAGCTGTTAGCAAAGTAATTACTTCTTAAATTATTATATTAATCTAAATATTTGACTTCAATCCACCCAGACACCAACTCCTCGATTGAAGTAATTGGTTAGAGCAGCGGCATATTGAGCCAAGGGTGATGTGTACAAATGTCGCTCGTGGCACAACATTTTCATCTCAAGCAAGACCTTCGATTAAAAGTATAATTAATTGAAATAATTAACTAGGTCAACTATGTCTGCTAAACATACATAGATCACCTATTACTCTTTATAACATGTATTATGGAAAACAAATATGTTTATGACTTTTTTGTTTGGAAGTACAAACTGATACTAGTGGTGATAACAGTCATAACTGTAGCTTCGATCCACCCTATTTTTTATAGGCTGTAAGGTAGGTGACAGCTGTCACAATGACCAGTTGTGCAGTTCAGCCTGTTCTGGAGAATGTCTTTAAACAGGAAAAAATAGTGAAAGCTTAAATTTATAAAAGCGTGCAAGAATGAGTGACAGAGACCGGAAATATTGTCGGGCGGTTGATGGATGTGCCCTCGGACCCCGGGATGTGACAGAGGAAAATCCGGGTGGCCACGTACGACGTTACCTACCGATCAGGATGTCCAGGTCGACATAGGCTTTGTCGAACTCTTTCTCCAGTAAATCCAGCCAACGGAAGCTCATCGCCGTCACAGCCATTTTTTCAAATGTCAAACCAAAATCAGAAGAATCGTCCAAAGTTATCAAAACAGACGGCTTTCCGCGCTAAAGAATTACTGGCCGAGAGGAGGCAGGCGTGACGAGCTATGAGTGGCTCCAGGCCTCCATTGTCCATCCAGCCTCGGCATTCAATTTATAGACAAAATTTATTTTCTTTCTAAATTAATTGATTAATTACTTGTCAATTTTACCCAGAAAAAAAATAAACAACAAAAACAAAGGTTTTAAATTTAAAAAATTCGAGTTTTGAGCGGAAATTATAAACCTGGCTACAACTTGAAAGGTATCACAACATTTAATTATTTATATAAACAGGCTGATAGCCTAATTTACATAGATAAACTTAAAAATTATATATAAAATAATTAAAATATGGGAAACATAAAATATACACTGAGAGACAAAGAAAAGTGGCCACCCTCTTAGCAAATAGTAAGTAAAAACTTGCAATAATAATGATTTTTATTTTTTGTCGTTTACTGGTTATTTTAAAAGAAAAAATGTAGCCATAAATCTGAGTAAAACAAAGAAAAATGAAGAAACTATTCAATTCAGTATGGAGTATTTCCTCCTCTTGTGTTGATCACCCTTTGCACTCAACACGGCATCAATTTTAATTGGTTTTGAATATAATGCTGTCAAATATTTCATACAAAAATGTATTGTTGAAATGTTTTTCTTTTATTTTATTGAATTGAAACTCAAAACGAAGATGGTGGGAAGCCGCAATGAGCCTGACATGCCAAATCATTAAAACCTAGAATTTTCTATTATTTGAAAACACAGTTCAATATAATTAATGAAAACAGAGCTCTTAAGGAAACATTTAAAAATCTACCTTTCTCTCAGTAGCACAAATAGGAAAATCATAAGAATTTATACTGGCCATTTACTTACCCCAAAACATGGGAAAAACTGAGACAGAAACTTGTCGAATCTGTCAACACATTAGAGCAAGTCCTTTGTGACTGCAAAGCAAGAAAAAAAAAGATTCAAGAACCCTAGAATGTGCTAAATCTACTTAGAGTAGTGCACTTTTTGAGGGTTGGAAAAAAGGAAGGTCATATGATAGTTCTTTCAGGTCATGTGGAAGAAAGGGAGACTTTTTTAAAACTGAAGATGGCAAGTGCTGCAACAAGGCTGACAGACCAAACCAACCTAGATTTTTTAGAGTTTGAAAATACAGTTCAATATAATTATAAAAGAGAGCTCTTAATGAATCTTTAAAAAATCTACCTCTCTCTCAGAAGGCAAGAATTAAGGAAAATAATTGCCATTGCTCGTATAATTACTACTCTAAAAAATATCATCGCAGATCAGATAATCAATCAAAATTATTAATGTTAAAAAAATATTTTTGACTGGAATTTTATTTTGGTTTGTGTAAATAATTTGCCAAAAATGGTAATTAATTTTGTCTGGTGGGTGGGAATGGAGTCGCTCCTCTCTCGTTCGTACGCCGGTAGAAATATCGTTATCAAAACGCAGTCACATTGATCATCAGTTGAAAGAAGATCGTTTACGTGGCCAATAAACTTTTCAACTGAATTAAAATTTGTTTTAACTCTGGTTTTCTTATTATGCTATTTTTTTAATTGCACGGCGGGTGGTTTATTCTAGCGGACGAGGAGTTTTGGCTATGTGACGTGGAGTCATTAGGTAGAGTGCCGGTGTGGTTTCGTGGCTGTCAGCTGTGGTGGTGCATTCGCGTACGAGTCTCCTCTCGGTTTTTTCCTCATTCGCGTGTACTGTATTTCCAAGTTTAGTGCTGATGAACTGAAATCATGCTGACAAAATTCGAGACCAAGTCGGCTCGGGTTAAGGGGCTTTCTTTCCACCCGAAAAGGCCATGGATTCTATCCAGCCTGCACAGCGGTGTCATCCAACTCTGGGATTATCGTATGTGCACACTTTTGGATAAGTTCGACGAACACGACGGCCCGGTGAGGGGGATCTGCTTCCATGCCCAGCAGCCGCTTTTCGTCTCTGGCGGTGACGACTACAAAATCAAGGTGTGGAACTACAAGCAGAGGAAGTGTATTTTTACACTTTTGGGCCATTTGGATTATATCAGGACGATACAGTTCCATCAGGAATACCCCTGGATCTTGAGCGCGTCGGACGACCAGACGATAAGGATCTGGAACTGGCAGAGCCGGAACTGCATTTGTGTCCTTACTGGACATAACCATTATGTCATGAGCGCTCAGTTCCATCCGACGGACGACATTGTCGTGTCAGCCTCTCTTGACTTTACAATCCGAGTCTGGGACATTTCAGGCCTTCGCAAGAAAAACGTGGCCCCTGGGCCTGGAGGCCTTGAAGACCACCTTAAAAACCCGGCGTCCACTGATCTGTTCGGCCAGGCTGATGCGGTTGTGAAGCACGTACTCGAAGGCCACGACCGAGGGGTCAACTGGGCCACATTCCATCCCACTCTTCCTCTCATCGTCTCCGGTGCGGATGACCGTCATGTCAAACTCTGGCGTATGAATGATGCTAAAGCGTGGGAGGTGGACACTTGCCGGGGGCATTACTACAACGTCTCCTGTGTCCTCTTTCACCCTAGGCAAGATCTTATACTCTCCAACTCTGAGGACAAGAGCATTCGTGTGTGGGATATCACGAAACGCACTTGCCTCCACACGTTCAGGCGTGAGAACGAGCGGTTTTGGGTTTTGACCGCACATCCGACTTTGAATTTGTTTGCAGCAGGGCACGATTCAGGCATGGTCATCTTCAAACTGGAAAGGGAAAGACCTGCGTATGCAGTACAAGGTAACATCTTGCTTTATGTGAAAGACAGGTTTCTAAGGAAACTCGATTTTACAACTTCAAAAGACGTGTCAGTTATGCAGTTAAGCGGCAGCCAAGGTCCTGTGTACAGTATTAGTTACAATGTCGCTGAGAATGCTGTTCTAGCCTGTACGAGAAATGCAAATGTGGAAAGTAGCGTCTACGATTTATACATCATGTCTAAAGATGGCCATTCAGACACCATAGAACACAAGAAAATACCAGGGGTGACTGCGGTTTGGGTAGCCCGAAATCGTTTCGCAGTTCTTGACCGTTCACACTCTATTGTTATTAAAAATCTTAAGAATGAAGTCACAAAAAAAGTCAGCACACCTTCTTGTGATGAAATATTCTATGCAGGAACTGGAATGCTCCTGTTAAGAGATGCTGATAACGTTACACTGTTTGATGTACAACAAAAGAGAACAGTCGCCCAAACTAAAATCTGCAAATGTCGTTATGTCGTCTGGTCCTCAGATATGTCGCATGTTGCTCTCCTCGCAAAACACACTGTTACAATTTGCAACAGAAAATTAGATCTTCTCTGTTCCATCCATGAAAATACGAGAGCAAAATCAGGAGCTTGGGATGAAAACGGTGTTTTTATTTATACTACCAGCAACCACATTAAATACGCTTTGACCAACGGAGACCATGGCATTATCCGCACACTCGATTGGCCGATATATTTGACAAAAGTTAAAGGAAACCAGGTGTTCTGTCTAGACAGAGAATGCCAATCACGAATTTTGAACATCGATCCAACAGAGTATCGTTTTAAACTTGCTTTGATCAACAGGAAATATGATGAGGTACTGCATATGGTGAGGAACGCAAGACTTGTAGGACAATCTATTATTGCTTACTTACAGCAAAAGGGTTACCCAGAAGTCGCGCTTCATTTTGTTAAAGATGATAAGACTCGTTTTGCCCTTGCCCTTGAATGTGGCAACATAGAAGTGGCACTTGAATCAGCTCGTGCGCTTGATGACAAAGCATGTTGGAATCGTCTAGGGCAAGCTGCATTATTACAAGGAAATCACCAGGTTGTTGAAATGTGCTATCAACGTACCAAGAATTTTGACAAGCTGTCTTTCTTGTATTTAATTACAGGAAATCTAGAAAAATTGAGAAAGATGACTAAAATCGCAGAGATTCGTAAAGACCCCTCGGGTCAATATCAAGGAGCTCTATTACTCGGTGATGTTGTGGAAAGGATCAAAATATTGAAAAATTGTGGTCAAACTTCTTTAGCTTACTTGACAGCTGCTACTCATGGACTAGAAGCCGAAGCCGAAGAGCTCATGCAAGAATGTGATGGAAAAATCCCTGAAGTAGATAAGAATGCAATTCTCCTCCAACCTCCCGTTCCGATTCAACAGACAGAAACCAATTGGCCCCTGCTGACAGTTTCAAAAGGATTTTTCGATGGAGCAATGCTCAACAGTAATTCGATGGCAGCTGCAGTCGAAATCGATGATGCCGGAGACGGTTGGGGAGATGAGAGTCAGCTTGGTTTTGAAGATGCGATGGGTGAAGAAGAGGGTGATGAACCAGCTGTTCCTAACCAAGAAGGTGACGGATGGGATGTTGGTGAAGAAGACATCGTCCTCCCACCAGATCTAGAAGTTACTCAAGGGCCAGAGGATGGTTTCTTTGTTGCACCTACTAAAGGAGTTTCTCAAACTCAAATTTGGGTCAACAATTCTCAACTGGCTGTCGACCATGTGATGGCCGGTTCCTTTGATTCAGCGTTCAGATTACTTAATGAACAAGTGGGTGTTATAAATTTTGAACCCCTGCGCTCTCTGTTTCTATCAGGATTTTCTATGTCGAGAACTTCTTATACACCACTTCCTTCATTGCCATCTATTTATGCACACCCACATAGAAACTGGAAGGAGGCTGGAGCTAAAAATGGTCATCCAGCTCTTTGGATAAAACTAGACGAACTCGTAGCTCAGCTATTAACTTGTTATCAGTTAACTTCTAATGGAAAATTTGTAGATGCAATAAAAGAGTTTAGAAATCTGCTTCTCAGCATTCTGTTTTTGATCGTTGACACTAAACAACAAATAGCCGAGGCCCAACAGTTAATGCAAATCTGTCGTGAGTACATCTTAGGCCTTCAAATGGAAAATAAGAGGAAAGAACTGCCTAAAAACACCCTTGAAGAGAGAATCCGAATTTGTGAAATGGCAGCATACTTCACTCACTGTCAGTTGAAGCCTGTACATGAAATCCTCACGCTGAGAACTGCAGTCATCCTTTTCTTCAATTTGAAAAATTTCAAAACGGCAGGCTCCTTTGCTAAAAGAATGTTGGAACTCGGGCCGAAACCCGACCTTGCTCAGAACGCCAAGAAGATGTTGCTAGCCTGTGACAAAAATCCTGTTGACGAACATAAGCTCAACTACGACGAGCACAATCCTTTCAACATCTGTGCCTACTCGTACACACCGATCTACCGTGGAAAACCGGAAGAGAAATGCCCATTCTGCGGAGCCTGCTACTTGCCGCAGTACAAGGGGAAAGTCTGCAACGTCTGTAATGTTTCGGAAGTCGGAGCCCAAACTATCGGACTTAGAATCAGCCAACTCCAATTCAGATAATTTCAATCATAACCATTTTATTATTTGTGTACATATATATTTTTTACTATGTGTATTATAAAAATATTAAGAATATTATCAAAGCTTCAGAGGATCTTTACGGTATAAATGTTTATGCTTCGAAACATTTGTAGCATTATAATATAATATATAAAATGTTTAACAGTTGCATACTATTCCAAATAAAACTAAATTAATGTTTTGTCTTCTTTCATTCTTCAAACCTTCATATTTGTCTGATCATGTGTACATTTTCTATGACAATACCTAAGTAATTTTTATAACAAAATATTATGCTGAATGCATAAAAATAACATGTATGGAAATAAACAAACTTGTAGTTTTGTTTTATAAATAATAAAAATATAAATATAGTGTTAAGTAAATCACATTGGTATAACCAAGAAAATGTAGATGAGCCGGCAATGTCAGCCATGATGCGTCGTGAGACCACCCAGCCTCCCCCTTCGCTGTACATCCAGTGGATTTAAAAAGAACAATTGCAAGCAATAAAAAATGAATGGCCAATTTGCTGGGCCAAAAGAGATACATCAAAATTATTCAAATTTAAAAAAAGACGACTGTACTGTGGAGGAAAAAGGTCATACCAGGTTGCACATAGGTCATAGTAAGATTACAAGCGGACATCCAACAGGGTGAGACAATGCATGCGCCCATTGTGTGATGAAATTATTGCCATAGAGCACATAATAACCCTGCAAAGAATTAGATTACAACGAAAGAAATACGATCTGCATGATTTAGTGTTCTTGGGCCCAGAAAAAAAGGGGTTGTTACTTAGGGGGTAGTACAGCTAGATTTTTAAAGTTTTTTGTTTTTGCTTGTCTTTAACTAAATTTAATTTTATTATATGTACTTTTATTATATGTATTTTTATTATATGTTATTTAAAATGAATAAAAAGAGAACTGAAGTTAAAAAGAGATTTCTTTCTTGGAAGTTTGTTATGTTGGCTATGGTCCGCAACCGCCCGCTTAAAAGAACCGTTGTAGATTTGTATTTACTTTACTATGAAACCGGTAGGTAATTTACAATAACATTAAACGTATTTTCGTTCGCCGCTGTCAAACCGAGTGAGGTTTTGTTAATTTTATCAACTTCTGTTATTAAAAATAAATAATATTTATTATGAGACGTGGGGAGAGTTGGTAACTTGGCTCAGAGCAAATTGATGGATAAACCACGGTCCTCGTAAGTAGTCGTTTTTTCTTCTCTTTTTCTCCTTTCGTAGTACATTTACAAAAGAGGCGTTTTCTCCCATTCCAGGACCTCCGACGAGTCTAACAAGACTATTGAAACGGAAGTGAGAACGGCTAGATCTTCGGTGAGTAGTAATATTAGCCGTTAAAACTTCAAAACTTCGTGCTTACTAACTTCCAAGTGTACGTAAGGCCCGGTTCACACGAAGGCGATCGGTATGAGGGACGCGTATGCGATACCGGTAAGAGATACAAAAAGTATCCAGGCGACTGAATCTAGAGTTCCCTAAGCGGTTTAAAGACCTAGATGTTTGATTCTGTCTTATTTTTATAATGGACGAGTTAGAAGCTGTAGTTCTTTGGCATTTAATTAGACGAAAAATAAGTAAAAGTAGTGCTAATTAGCTCCAACTTTGGAGAGGATAGAGAAGAGATGGAGTGAAGGCGACTGAATCTAGTCGCCGAGATTCTTTTTGTATCTCATACTGGTATCGCATACGCATCTCTACCTTACCTTTAAATAAAACCTTTGGTGTATTCAAACATCACATTATAAATGTGTATTTAATTAATTAATGACTTTTATCACTAGATTCTAAAGCCACAGAGACCAAGGACGCCATTCCAGGATACAACACTTGGATATATAAATGAAGAATTTGATCTTACAAACAGAAGACGGCGAGTTAGTTTTGCAGGTGTAAATATCGTTAAGTAAGTTTGCAATAAAAATTAGATCGAATTATTAAAATCTGAACCAAAACTACAACAACTCTTTAATTTTAGGGAATTTTGTTCAAAGACTGAATCCCAGCATATTGGATATATCCAGGCTTATGAGGAAACTTTTTCCCTCTCATCTGATTCTTCTCATTTTACTAACAGGTGTGCAAAATAGGGCTTGATAGTTTTAATTATTTTGCTTGATCCTCACCAATTGTCCTGGTCTGCCTATTTCCTCCAGTTAGTTGTTCCACTAATGATGGATTTGGTAGTCAAAACACATTGAGGATAGGCAGTCTAGGATAATCTGGGACAAACAAAAGCTTCATATTCTAGAATACTTTTAAAAATTGATATTCTAATTATCATGAAATACATTTTTATTTCCAGTGAACCTAGTGCAATACCAGTTAGACCTTACTTAAACAATTTAGAAACTTCAGATGATTCTATCCTATCAGAAAAATCAATGGATTTGACTTTGAATTCATTAAATGATGATTTGATTCAAAATTGCGACCAAGGTGGTAAAATTCAGAATTGCCTTCCAAATTTTGATATCTTGAGCCAAAACAGGTTTGTCATGGAATCAGATAAAGAAAACCACTTGATCCCTATGGTGAAGAATCCTAATTTCCTTCCCAATATGATGACATATAATTTCTCAGGCAACATGGTCGATGATAAAAAGGTTTTGGATGTTTCCGACACGAATATGAGCATGACCAATGTGCTTTACCGGCCTGACGAATTCACCGACCCTCGAAATAAAGATCTATTTAACTATTCTAATATAGGTGACTTGTCAAACAACGATATGGAGATGACTGAAGCTATTCATGTTCAAATTGGAAACCGGTTCTCTGAAGGTGATAACATAAAAAACTCAAGTGGAATGGAATTCACCGAAGTTCTGCCCACACTCAGACCAAGGAAATCCTTAGCTCCGCAAACCCTAGTTACGCTACCCTTGTGTAATGATGAAGAACAATTCAGAATTGAAAGTGATACAGAAAAATTACAATCAAATCAATCTGCATGTGATAAGGATCTCAATACAAGTTTATTTCAAAACCAACTTGATACTTCGATGGAGTTCACAAATGTTAATAACATCAGATCTTTTGTAAATTTCCACAAGAATACAGAATGTGTGAACTCACAGCGTACCAGTGATCCTGTTGTAATTGATATGGAAATTACAGAACAGGTGAATATGAAATTTATCTATGAGAGAAGAGACAACCTTAATCAAACTCACGAAAATAGTGAAATGCAATTCACTGAGGTGATTTCAAAAACTCCTTTAAATGAAAGTATTGGAATGGAATTAACTGAAGCTGTACCGCACAATTTTTTAAACACTCCTCACCAAACTCAGGAAAATCAAAAGCCTTGTTTAGATGTCAAAGAAACAAATCCTATTTTTAGTGAGATGAGCATTCTCGGTGAGGTGCCACCAAAACAGGCTTTCTTCTCGCAGAAGATGTCACTACTGCCAAATGTACTGGGAGTATCTCAAGTAGAGACAGCTTCTCAAGTAGAGACTGAATGCAACCAGGAAAAGCTGTCTCAACTGATAGGATTGGAGCCGACTGAAGAAGAGTATAAACATCTTTCGAGTGCACATCTGAGTAAAAAAATGGTTGAAAAAGAAGATGATTTCATGGACCTTACTCAAAATAGGTTACCTGCTTCGCAAGAAGAAGAATCTCTTTCTTCCGATGATAAAGAACAGATGTCAATTAAAGAGGGTTTGAATAATAAATTTGACATTTATGAGGACTTAGGCGATACTTCATCAAACAACGATTTATCTTTTAAACAGACTGAAGCTACAAATCATAGAGATAAGAAACGAGAAAAAGGTTTAGGAGAAATTTTAAGCCGAAAATCTTTAGCTCCTGACAAGTTAGATGATTCGATGCATGCTAATGAAGATTTTTCACATAAAAAAACTTGCATCCGTTCACCCGCCACTTGTGAGAGGGTCATTTCTTCATTCCGTCTTGAGTTGGATCATTCCTTGGAGCTAAGTAGTTCAAAGTCATCAAAATTAGCAGGAATTGCAAACTCTGAGGATTTAAATAAACCTGATAAAAATATTCCTGTTGTATCAGGTAATTATGAAATGTGTGATGATAATCCTTTAAAAGGAATTTTAGAGGAATCTGTACTGCCTGATTTTGTGCCGATAAAACACAGAGATTCGACCAAATCACAAAACAATCAACAGAAGGAAAACGCTGCGCCTAAATCAAACTGCCCATTGTTTACTGTTTTTCAATCACCTGATAAAGAGAATGGAAATGAGGTTGAATGTGCACCAAGAAAACAACCTGAGGCAGCACATTTAGAAATATCTGATGAAAATCCGTTAAAAGGAATTTTAGACGAATCGGAACACAACTCTGATAAATCTCCTAACCGATATTCAACCTACCATTCGCCTCAAAATGAAGAAGCAGGTTCAAATTTATCTGCCGATGGTTCTGAGATTATTCAAGAAAAATCTGAATTGTCGACTGTAAAAAATAAGCCTCGTTCTAAAAGGTTTACCCATTATTATTGCGACGAAGAAAACGTACAAGATAAATTGAACATTTCAGATGGATCTGACAATAAATTGTTACCTGAACAGAATTCAATGCTCTTTAATCAAGACGTATCGTCTGAAAATACTGATCAGGTTGTAGAAAATGCACACTCAATGAAATTCATATCAAATGATACCCTTCTTAAAGGTGTTTTGGACGATTCTGAATCAAAATCACTTGAGGGCAGTGCTTCAGAGCAAGAAGGATCTTCCAAACTTTCAAAGAAACCACTGGAAATTACGCCGTACAAGAATTCAATCGGAGAATTATTCGCAAAAAGGCGTTCAGATATGTGCAAGTCGTTTTCTTCTAGCAATGAGTCAAAACATTTCGAAAAGCCAGAAGACACCTCCCAAAGCACCGATAGAGTCCTAACTTGCCATCCTTTGCAAGAAGTTTTACAAAATTCAGTCATAGAACCGATGGAATTGCAGCAACATTCGTCTTCTAAGAAAGGAATCAGGCATGAAGTACCTGTCGAAGAAGACATTAAAAGCGCTTGTGAATCTTTACACAAGACTTCTTTAAATGATGACATGAATGTAGTAAATACTATCAACCATTCAAAGAGCGTTCATGCCAAAATGAATCTTCTGGAAAAATTCAACAATAGTGAACAAAACAATACACAGTTGGAAATTCATGTTCCATGTACAGAGGAAATAGTTGAAACGGAATTGATACAGATAGATGCCGACGTTCAAGAAGTTGAGGCCCATTCTGTTAAACAAATGCCTGATTTAATTTCTCATAAAGAAGACGTACAAAGCACTGCTGATAAATTTTCTCCTTGTCCCATGGTATTAAATGAGGAAGTTGATAAACAAAACTGTTTAGAAGAAATAGATGTAATTAATGATGTCCAAATATCTGATGAAGCATTCGAACCTAGAGCTGTTTTGACACCATTTGCTGACACTCAGAAAGAATATTTATCATCGACGGACTCTAAAAAGAGAAATATTACTCTGTCCTCTTTTATGTCTGGGGCAAACACACCTTATGAAAAGCTCTCTTACTTCAGTGTAACTGCGTTATCAACACCTGGTGAAAACTTTGCCAATAGTAAGTTTTTTCTTTATAATTATAATTTGATTTCACTTTTAAATTATGTTTAATTCGCAGACCAGCGGTCAGGAAATGACAAGACTTCAGATAAGGCTTATGCGATCAGGATTAAAAATCGGTTTGTTTTTAATATACAAATTGAGATTACGATTTGCGAGTTTATTTTACTAATTTTTGTCTGACTGTAGAGATTTTATGGCAAGCCTGGGCTTCAAACGAATTACTTTGTCAACATGGAAGTATAAAATTTGTCACCATTTTTACCTGGTTGTTGAAACGGGTCTACAAGAAATTTTTGAATTTACATCTATAAAGAAAATTTATTATTTGAGAAAGCTGCAAATGACTGGTGGGACTAAAATTTTTTTAACTACTTAGAATAATCGAGTTTTTATACTATATAAATTATATCTTTTTTTTTTCAGATGAAATTCTTGATTTTATAGAAATAAACTTTAAAATTTCCTTTCCTGAGATACATCTTGTAAATCAATGTAAGAATGTCGGCCAGCTTAAGCAAATCACATTTGAGATAAACTCCTTCTGGAAAAAGTTGACACCACTTGTTGATGCTTTGAATTATTTGAGCCAACGTTTTCCTTTCACACTTGTCAACCGAAAGTAAATTTAATTAAAATATATTTTTAAAATTGTCTTCCCTAAGTAAAATATGTATTTTTTTCAGACTTAGCTTTTCAATAATCAATTTAGATGCAAAGATAAAATTTGATGTAATAATCAACCTTTCTGATTGGAAGCAAGGCATTGGGGAAAGGAATGTCTCTATTTGCCAAGGGATTGGTCAAGTCAAGTAATAAAAACTATTCATTTGGTGATTGTCATGTATATAATGTATATGTAATGTTTTTATTTGTAGTGAGATGGCAGTGAAATTTTTATTTGATAGCAATCCGTTTGAAGAGGACATCTTTTTCAAATATGTTACCGAACTCAAAAATCATTGTGGGCTGCTGAACAGAAATTTAAGCTAGCCATACGGCTGGATGGTTTCAAAATTACTTTAATGTTTAATAAACAAAAAACAAACATTTTATATATTTTATTTTATACTTGTTAACTGTATATTTACCATTTTAATATTTTGTTAAATACAGCATTATTTTTACAACAAATCATATTTTAAAAAGAAGATATACATTTTAATATAGATTTAGGAGTATTTTCAAATTTTATGTACATTTTCAAGGTTTTATTTAAAAGAAAAAAAAATATATATAACTTACAATAAGCAATGTTCAAGTGTGTCATTTATGCCTTCGTTTGTTTAAATTAATTCTGGATGGAACACTTGTTTTGCCCCAGCTTTTAACCCGCCGTGGAAATTGTGTCTTCTTGTACAGTCATATATAGTCAAGGGTTCTCACACAATTAGTTGAAGAATACATTTTATTTTATATTTTTAATCCCTTCTATATCTTACAGTGGCACCGCTTTCATTAGATAATTTTCACTTTTACATTGCTTTTATAGCTGTTTAGTGCCAACAACTTCATCTCAACGAACTGCTTAGGGAGTTCTTCACATTTCTCTGACCAACTTTTCTGGCTGAGGGGATTACAGCTCTACTAGAGGTACTAAGGTAATACACCAAACTATTACATATTTATTATCTACTAACATCAACCAAAAACTCTGCGGATTTAATGGATTTTTTGTTTGTAACATTCTCTTTCAAACATCACAACTTATCATCTGACCATCTACGTGTCTTTTTATCACTTCAATTAAAACCTTTTGTTAAAAACAATTGTCCTATCTAACCAATGAATTGGGAAAAATTTCGTTCTTCGCTTGATAAAAATACTTTCTATCCCATCAGCGAAAAAACAAAGGATACTAGAAAACGCAGTTGAACAGTTTAAAAAAAGGGCAAAAGCTCTGTGGGAATTGCTTGCCCCCCAAGGAAAATCTTCCAATTTTTACTGTCAAAATAAGACAATTTATATAAAAAAAGCAAGAAACCTTAGGCAACGTTCTAGGTCAATCAATGACAAACAAAATTACAACAAAAAATTTTTGGATAAAAATGGAAGACTGCTATTGTTACTCCTATCTTCAAGAAAGGCTCCAAGACCAATGACGAAACACGTCTTATATACCAACCCAGTGAGGATAGGCAGTCCAAAACGAGCACTAATGGCGAAATGACGAAACACTTATAGACCAACCCAGTGAGGATAGGCAGACCAAAACGAGTACTAATGACGAAACACGTCTTATATACCAACCTAGTGAGGATAGGCAAACCAAAACGAGCAGTAATGTCGAAATGACGAAACACGTCTTATAGATAAACCCAGTGAGAATAGGCAGACCAAAACGAGCAGTAATGGCGAAATGGCGTAAAGTTGGTACTAACTTTAGAATGTGTTCTTAATGGGCCAATTATTGTTATTATCTTTTACTCTTTTTTAGATATCACAGCTCACAAACCAATAAATGAAATAAACCATTTTTGTCCAATAAATGGACTATTATTGTTTTTTTCCCCTCCTACCCATCGTACGTTAAGATAGGCTAGCCTTTGGGCAGCATTTATCAAAAAATGCCCTACGGCACATACAACTGAAAAAAAAGAAAAATCGTTACTGCCTCTAATAAAATCAAAAAATGACAGAAATTTCACAAATTGATTGAGTAAATGAGTAAATAATGATGTTTTACTGTACAGTTTATTCTTTTCATCAGCTCACGATCCCAGCCGTAACTAGAAATGGCTTCCATTAAAAATCTCGTCATCATCGGAGTAAATCACCTGGTAAAATGAACGCTTAAGAAGCGATTGCTTTCTTCTTCATCCTGTCTGACATTTTCCCAGTTGCGTAAACGTCGATCCTCGTTAGGAATTCTGAAACACCGGAGGGAATTAAAATACCAGGAAAAACAGCACGACCTTCTACTGTATGTAGATGACCATACTGGGGTTTCGTAACCGATTGTGAACTGGCCAAATCCTAATTTTTAAATTGATTCATGATTTGTATTATTTTTGAGTTTAATTGAAGAATTAAAATCTAGTGAAACCAATTCAAATCGGGACAAGGAATTTGTTTTATAACTTGAACGTGAATAAGAACAAACAACTCTAAACTCTACCTGTTTAGCCACAGGCCACTGATTAATACAACACAAAATACAATGCACGATTGAAAAAAATATAATACATAATAACATAATATAAATACTGAAAAGTGTTTTTTAACTGTGGAACTAACTGCAAGCTGGAGAGATGTATACAATGGCCGACGGATGACATTAGTTTGAATTCCGGCGCCAGCCCCTACTAGTCTTATTTTAATTATTTATTTATCGTCCTCAAGATTAATAAATTATTCTTTTGATAATTTTCCGAATAAATTTGAGGTCTAGGCTTTGTTTAAGCCATCAAGAACGAAAATCCGTGGAGCGGTTCTTCCGTATTTTAAAAAGCGTTACGGGCGTTCACATTTATAGATAAAGATTCCATGTTTTATCTATAGTTGTTTGCTGCTCAATGGTAAAAAGCAAAAATATACAATTTGTGAGTATACAATTTTATATTACCTAATAAATTTCGCTGTAGAACGAAGATTTGGTAAAATATCGATATTTCATGCGGAGAAATCACATCTCGTTCAACAAGTCCGACTCGGTCGGTTTCACTTTTATGAATTATTTTCACGCTATTGAATATTTGATGTTCCGAGAAGTGATAACAACCTTTTCCTCCTTAAATAATTATATTAATTTAAACCAACAGGAAGTTTAACCGGTTAACTCATGTGGTTCGTGAAACCATCACGCTTATCATCTTTTGTCCTGTATTAGACAGTTTTCAAGTGCCGGGTTTATGTCACCCTGAAGTCGTAAAGTTATTTGATGATGGACCTAATATTTAACTAGAAATATCCAACAATGAGCCAAAAAGTAAATTCGACTGAATAACAATTAGGTTGATGGGTAGGAAATAATTGTCGTTGTTTATTAAAAAATATGCACCGGGGATCGCAATGTCATCAGAAGGATACTGAGGTTCTCTAACGTGCGCACCTCGCACATGGCTTTATAATACGTTTAGATTCTTAAGATAAGAGCGACACCCCTCCGCTCACAAGTGGTCAGCGCTAATTCTGTGAGGTTTGGTGTAGAAGCCACTAATCCACGGATTACAGTGACGTTTCCAACTTGCCCCGGCCGGAGGGGTGGGGTATGTACCCGTCCTTGGGCCGCATAGTATTGGAAAACCGTTCACTTGGTGCTGAAATGCATCAGCTGATTAACCATTCTATACTATCTGGATAGAGAAGGCAATTCTACCTCCCTGGTTGTAGGGACCCCATCAGCGTCGGATCTGCTGGATCCGCTCCAGCAGCGGTTTTGGCTATAGTGGAATCTCTAACCACCCCGTAGAGGAATACTGCCTTCGGTAAAGGAAGCCTATGAAGGCACCACTGAACAACAGGCTCTTCTCTAAGAACCCGCCAGGTGCCTCATCATGGACCAACTACCATTCCATTCCCACGTAGCATGCTACTTGGCTTGAAACCTATAACACTCTTGCGCTACCCTATCTTTATTCATGGATGTTGAAACCCATGAGGATCCTTATCGCCCGGACTTATCCCCGAGGGGACTTGTCAGACGCCCAGAGTACTCAAAGAGAACACCAGGAAGATTTTACATCCATGGACGTCAAATTCCTTGGCTAACGAGGTGGTGCAATGCTTACCAAGTTCAGAAGAGCCCTGAAAAGAGCACATCCATACATGTGCCTTGAAAAAGGCAGTTTTGTGATTTCTGGCACAGCCTTTCAGCCGTGACTTTCATCACCCCGGAAAAACAGAGAAGGCACTCTATCTCCGGCTCCGGTTGGCCGGTACCATCCAGCTAAGGTACTGTTTGTTTGCAAACCACCACGAGTCCAACCTCAATTAGTAGAGTCGATTGGATACTCTACTCCCGTATTTTTAAGGTGAGTTTGATCGCCCACCCGGGGTTCATACGAACCCCCTACTGATGCACCCGTTGCCTGAGTGGTGCGGGTTCAGTAACCCAGGAAGCTTCTGCGAAAGCAGTGGTGGGAAGGGAGGGGAAAGGAAGGGTAAGGAAGGATAGAGAAGGCAAGGGGAAAATTTTGCCTCCATCATTGGTTACCCCTAGGCACCGGAGCTGATGGTAGGGCTTGCCTAGGCCCATAGGGAAGGGTACTCTATGGGATGTCTTGCGTACCTCGTAGTTCAGTTGGTTATGCACCCTACCCCTTCTTTGCAGACAGGATCTGGTACCCTAACCTCTCTGTGCGACTGATCAGGCATCCGCCGTCCGCGGCTGACTCAAAAGCCAACAAACCCTGTACGCATTCGAGATACTCTGTAGGCGTAATCTTCGCATCCTCGCATACTTTACGTTTCCTTCGTTCGATCTGCCATATTCATGCGGATGGTGCTTACGGAGACCATCCGCACAGGGAAACACAAATATATCTCATTTCTATACAGTGCTTTAAAGAGTTTGCCACCTCTCCAGACTACACCATTATTTTGTGCCTTGAAACCCCCCTTGCAACCAAGGGTTAGGAGGGGTCTGTAGGAAATAAGCCTAAGGAAAAGAATTGAGAAAAGGAATGTCCGAGAACGCGAGGCTCAACTTTTCAGGTTGCACCTCTGCCTCGGGCAGAATGTACCCCACTACCACCCGCCAGACCAGCTCAAAAATTACACACTGCTCGGACCTTGCTCCTTCGGACTACTACCCGCACTGGTCCAGTGTATACATGTAAATGTTATATGGTTTTTAAAAAAATTTTTTTTCGACCAATAAGAATTTACAGCAAACTTTACTATAATAAAACAGATACAGGCACATTTTCTCCGCTTCACGGAAAAACATTTAATCTTCAAAATGCAACCTAACCCTGACCCTAATCTAACCTAATCCAACTTAATCCAACCTCACCAAACCTAACCAAGCCCAACCCATGCGCATCAGTGACGCGAAAATGGTCCCGCAAAAAAATTGTGTGTTCAGTCAAAAAACATATCCATGTTAAAAATAAATG